TATGAGCAGAGATGGGACAACTCAGTTCCCATTGAAACCCATGTAAATCTTGTCTGCATTGGAGTCAAAACATCCTGTGCAGTGTACAAGATATAATATATAATTATATATATATATATATATATATATATATATATATATATATATATATATATATATATATATATATATATATATATATATAAATTGTCCACTCACCTTTGGCCCTCCGCAGGCGGTTATCCCTCTCTAAGCTCGGGTCCTCTACCAGAGGCCAGGGAGCTTGAGGGTTCTGCGCAGTATCTTTGCTGTTCCTAGCACTGCACATTTCTGGACCGAGATGTCCGAGGTTGTTCCGGGGATCCGCTGTAACCACTCATCTAGCTTCGGGGTCACTGCCCCGAGTGCACCGATCACCACGGGCACTACTGTCACCTTTACCCTCCAGGCCCTCTCCAGCTCCTCTCTGAGACCTTGGTATTTCTCAAGCTTTTCATGTTCTTTTTTCCGGATGTTACCATCGCTTGGAATTGCCACGTCCACCACCACGGCTGTCCTCTGCCCTTTGTCTACCACCACGATGTCAGGTTGGTTTGCCATTACCATTCGGTCGGTCTGTATCTGGAAGTCCCACAGGATCTTCGCACGCTCATTCTCCACCACCTTTGGAGGAGTTTCCCACTTAGACCTTGGGGTTTCCATGTAGGCCTTCCCTGCCAGCATCTTGCACCCTGCAGTTATGTGTTGGATCGTCTCAGGTGCCTCTTTGCACAACCGACACCTTGGGTCTTGTCTGGTGTGGTATATCTGGGCCTCTATCGCTCTGGTGCTCAGTGCCTGTTCCTGTGCAGCCATGATGAGTGCCTCTGTGCTGTCCTGTAGGCCAGCCCTTTCTAGCCATTGGTAGGACTTCTTGAGATCAGCCACTTCTGTTATGCTCCGGTGGTACATGCCGTGTAGGGGCTTGTTCTCCCATGATGGGCTCTCCTCCAGCACCTCCTCATCTCGCCGAGACATTCACTGAGTACGTCATCCGTTTTGGCCTTCTCCATGATGTAGTTATGGAGTTTGGATGTTTGTTATATATATATATATATATATATATATATATATATATATATATATTGTGATTTCTAGCTCGTAGTGAAAAAAAATATTTATTTGAATATCTCGCAAAAAGTAAAATGAACTGAACTTTGAACTAGTTCAGAATTAAAATTGAGAACTTCGAACGTGAACTGTTCACTTTGAGCATGTATGAACTGAACTTGAACTAGTTCAGAAAAGCTGTGAACTGGCACAACACTGGCCAAAGCCATACTGTCATTGGGCCAGAGCAAAATTACAAATGTGACGTCACACGTCGGCTACACAGCCAGGCCAGCCTAGCAGTGCACCCAGTGTAGCTTCCCCGGTTGAAATGAGTGGTCTCTCCAACTGATGGTTCATACACGTTTTTATTTTTCCTTTTATATGAGCTGTAACGATGTGATTTTACCTTACTACTTTTTTAACAATAATTGATTAGCTTGTTATAGTTATACACTAATGAACACTTAGTTCATTGTGTGTGTGTGTGTGTGTGTGTGTGTGTGTGTGTGTGTGTCTTTATTCTCACTAAACTCCATAAACGTTACGTTGCTAAGCAACGTACAACAATCCTTAAACGTCCGAGATTATATAAACAGTCAATATAAAAAAAATAAAGAAAACAAAAGTTTTGACAGTCAATCTTAAAACTATTAAAAGAACATCAAAATACAATGACAAAAACCAAATTTAGAACCTTGTTTGGCCTGAATGGATGAAAAGCTCCCGGCCTGAAATGTTGTCCCACTCCGGCCCTGGGCTGGATTCATCTGCATAACCTGAGTCAGGGAGAGTGGGAGAGGTTGGAGTACCACATTTGGCCAGATATCCTACCTGCTTGTTCATTTTGATTAGAATCGGAAATAGCTTTTTTTTGTAAATTAAATATGTTTTTTTATTATTATTCAAGAATCTTTTTGTGGACATTTCTTTTTTTGTGTGGCGCATCAGGCCCTTTTAATGTCCAGTTACCAAACAGAAGTAAACCTTTTCACTGACTCTACAATTTCTATGGTAGTCTCAATGGCACATGTTTGCACTTCAACACCGAGTACCTAACCTAATTTTTGTCCTTTGTCTTTTGTGATCCGCCAATAATCGCTCAATATGTAAATTGTTAAATGTTTTAATCGGATAAAGACAGCATGTTGTGGTCTTATTTACTTAAAGAAGACTCTTCCCGCCCGTCAACTTGGATGAAATGAGAAACATATTCACTCCGTACAGTTGACAGAATTCTGCCGTCTTTTTTTGCTGTCTATTAAATATGATCAAATATCTCTCTGCCTGCATGTTTACTGACTATTCCCTTCAGGCGTGTGAGTAAATGCCTCCATTTAGTCATCCCAAACCAATCCTGACTGAATTTGCACCGTATCTCAGGCATTCGTCTTTCTGCCTTTCTCGCATCTCTCCATTGCATGAATCTAGTTTTTTTCTTTTTTCTTCTATAGTTTTCATCATCTCTTGCTATATTTGTGTATATTTTGTTTTCATGTTGTTCTTCCACCTCCACCTCCTCCCCCGCCCCTCACCGCTCCTCTCTCCTCTGGGGCTCCATCCATCAGGTTGTCGGGGGCTGCTCGCGGCCCACTCGCACCCACCATATTTCAGCAGCAGCCAGCCAAGCAACTGACAGCGCCGCTACCACCAGGAAATTGCTTTGGCTGTGAGCAGAATTTCAAACGCATATACGAAGACGCACACACAAGCCGCGGCAGAGCAAGCATGTCTTTGCCTTACTCTCTCGCTACATGCTGATAACTCATTCTCTCACTCCGCTGTCAATCGCTTCATTTCTTTATCTTTCTTTATGCACCATTGTGTTTCTTTATATGCATTTGCCGCTGTCTCCCTGCTCTAAGCTGGGATCCCTTTATGCCCCTATTCAAATTGTTCATAGTGCTATACATTTATACAAATATGTTTGGCACAGTCTATGACGTTATTTTTGAAAACAGTAAATGTCATTCATTGTACATTTTTAAAGATTGTTCTGAAATGGCATTTGCAATGGTGGTAAGTAAATACAACTTTTAGAATGTGCAGATTACTTTTTTACAGTGTGTTTGACTTTGGAGGTAAACTTACTTTTTACTCCACAATAGTTGAAATTATTGGAATAATAATAGTGGATGGGGAAGTCTGGGCGTCTCTGCTTCGACTGCTGCCCACGCGACCCGGAAACGGATGAAGCATAAGAAAATGGATATTTGTAATTGGACTGAAAAATACATATTTTATCCAAGCATATATCTGACACCACAGTCATTCTAATAATTTTCTGGCCATTCAATTTTTAGTTAGTCTATATTTTTTCCAGAATGTCCAGTGGTCTGCTCTCCAGGCTGGCGCCACCTCATCCATACACTCAGTTTAATTGTACTCCAGCTACTATCTCAGGTATCGCAGAAACACAGACTGCTCCAGCAAGTACAGTCTGTTTGTGATTCAGCAAACATAGGAGTTGAGATGGCTATAGACCAAGCCATACACTCTGTGTTGTCAACCAATTCAATGTTATGTGGCTAGTGAAATTTAAGTCTGAGTCAATTTTAGACCTGGATTTCTAACGTGATTACCCTCTTTGTTTCTGGTGATAAATTGACATTCTGTTCAGCTTAATTAGTCACTGCATATTCATGGACACAGCAGCATGTGGACATTAAACAGAAGAGGGCCCAGGATTGACCCCTGTGGCACTCCACAGGTCAAGGCCATATGATAGTACTTTTTGTCTTCTATGTAAGACATACAACACAAACCACAGTCCACCAATCTAAGTGTGCTCATGTCAAAAATCAGTGTCTGCCTGCGGTAAATCTCTCAAAACATGTATGAATCATGTTAAAACATCTCTGAGAGTGAAATGCCTTTTTCAAGATGTGAGGTTTAGTAGATATTTTTTCAGATGTAAAATTGGTTATTAAGATAATAAAAAACTACATGTGTTAGAAGCATCACAATGCCAGTATCTCAACCATTTTAGCTCCACCCAAAAAAAGAGCTGCTGTGAACTTAGCAGGAGGTCATTATTTAGCACAGGCAGCCAAACATAATCCCTTTTCAGCTTGTGCCTTTGCATACATAATGTCCTCATCATCCAGTTATAATATCTCATAAGGTTCATTCATTACACTGCTCATTAGAGTCGCTGAGTCATAATTGCTGTCTGCGTATCTATCGTTGGGGAACTTTTGAATTTGTTGAAGTGAAAATATTTTCAATAATTTGCAAGTTATTTCATCACAGGAATTATTCAGGTCCATTAAAGGGGTTTTCGTAACGACAAAGTGTTCATTTTCCTTTTCTGTGCAACACAAAGTAACCAAAACCTGAGTTTAAGACTCTGACTCTGATGTTTCATGATAAATTATATTATTCACACATTTTCTCTTTCATATTCATGTAATGACTTAAATGGAATGAATCACATGATAGTAGTATCAGTGGTTTACTTCGAAGAAAAGAGCTTGAATCATGAATTGAAAGAAAAAGGTGTTTAAAATGTATCAAGAGGAATAAACAGTCCTTGTGCCCTGGCCAAGCCTGGATAAAGGTGCATGCATCTGAAGTATTGAGCCAAAAACATGGAGGGGCTGGAAATATGTTCTCTCTGAAGTTTAGCCAATGCCGTTCGGACGTGCACATTTTACAATGTCACCAAACTTCTGTTTATGCTGATACTACAGAGAGTGTGTCTGTGTGGATATCTTTAATCAAACATTTTCCTCTGCAGGAGTTTCTTTGAGTACGCTCTCTATTTTGTGTTTTATTTCTATCTCACAGTCCTGGGCCAACATCACAGAAAATATGATAATTTGTGTAAATGTAACACATGGCCCGTGCCTGACACTGCGTTTCCCAACATTTGTGCTGATCTCAGTCTGGAGTGCGGTGGTGCCCTTCAGAAGGACACAGTGATTGAAGTGATGTGTGGGTGGTATAACTCCTTTCAGCGATCCAACCTATTCTCACTTTGTATTATCTGGGGTTCTGTGGCGGTCCCTGGGGTGACAGCCTGCACCCTATGGCCAGAGAACGCACTGCTCACTCCCACTGGGGATGCCCTGGATGTGAACGGTTGCTCAGAGTGTCAGACAAACAGCCCTAACCTTCTGTGTCCATTTCTCTGTCTTGTCTCCATCAGGGGGTGAATCTGGAGTTCTACATTGATGTCCATGCCCACTCCACCATGCTGAACGGCTTCATGTACGGCAATGTTTTCGAAGATGAGGAGCGCGTCCAGAGGCAGGCTGTGTTCCCTCGACTGCTGTGCCAAAACGCCCCAGACTTCTCCTTTGTAAGACCCGCAGACACACGCCGAAACACTTCCTTTGTGGAGCATCAAGGCACTGCACTGCCAACTGTTGCATCCTGTTTGAAGGATAACATTGTGATTTCCAAGACTTACAATGTTTATGTGAGGTTTATGAACATTTTCGGACATTTGTTAACAGGCTCTGGGCCAATGACTCTTGTGCGCTTTATTATTGAATTCATTGATTTCAATTTGTTCTGTGAAGTCCGCTGCTGTTGTGATTTTGGGGCGATTCAAAAATAAATGGAATAGGTTTCGTTATTTCATAGAATAATATTTCCGTTGAAGGGCAGGTGCCAATACATCTCTGTGGGAAAGATTTTTTTTTGACGGTTTGGATTCTAATCTAAGACTAGAATCTGACTTTTGACAGATTTATATAGGGTTACCAGGAAAGATTGCCCTCAGCTGCCCTCCACCAAATTCTAAAACTGTAGGCTCTTTAGAGTGTTGTGTTGCCATTTGAACCATATCAACATATTCAATTGAATTGAGATGGAATAGGATCCATGAACGAGTGTATAGATAAGAATACATCAAAAATAAAGTCAATAGTTAGGGTTTTCATCTATTGCTAATGCTATAGCTTTGGAGAGAACAACTACCGCTATTGTTGTTGCTAACAAAGTGAGACCTTTGACAACAGGTTAAACATAAGCAATTGTATATTACAGTTACGGTAATTTTTATCATTATTATTATGCCTGGATGCACAAAGGTGTGATGAAGCGCTGCGTATGAATTATTAAGTTGACTCAATAATAGATAATACTAGATTTGAGTATATAAGACACAAAGGCTAACACTTCCACTGAGGTGTGAAGCCGTTTGAGGAGATGTGGTGCGGAAACAGAAGCTGGATTAGATGTGCACAAAAGTCTCTCACCTCGACTTCACCAACCCTGTACTGTGAAATATATATAAGGGGTTGAGAAAAATGTACCTTAGTTTTGTTGAGAATAAATACAGCTTTTCAAAAACGATGGAACAGGGTCTCTCACGTTATAATAATGTGATTAAAAATGGTTCAGCAATCTACAGAAATCATAATATTCTAAATACACAGCCACATCTGCTGTTAAAGCCTGATTTAGTTGTTAAGCAGTACAGGCCATGTTAGTACTGTGATGGGAGACTGCTGTACTGTCAGGGTGCCACATTTTAAGCTCTAAAATGCAAACTGTAATTGTGCCCTTGAAAGGTAGGTGTGTAAGTAAGCTAGTAAGCTTTTATTAGTAAGTAAGCTTTTATTTATATACCGCCTTTTCACTGCACATTGGAGTCTCAAAGCGGTTTACAATTGTTGGGTGGGGGTCGCCAGTACAGGAGGCACATGCCATACCTATTGTACATATTTTTAGTGGTAGGGGAAACCGGAGCACCCGGGGGAAACCTACGCAGACACGGGGAGAACATGCAAACTCCACTCAGAAAGGCCCTGGTCCAACCGGGATTCGAACCCAGGACCTTCTTGCTGAGAGGCGAGAGTGCTATCCACTCAGCCACCGTGCCGTGTGTGGAGGTGGTCAGTGGTAGTTTGTGCCATGGTTGCCGTTTGGCAGTAGCCCACCCTATTGGTTACGTTAAGATTAATCCATCCATCTATTTTCTACCCCTTAATCCATTTCTGGATCAAATCCAGGGGGGGGGGGGGGGTGGCAATCAGAGCTGCACCCAGTACACAGAGCACCACATTAAGGTTAAGTTATACTTTATTGTTCTCGCAGGGCAATTTATCCGCAGCATTTGACCTATCCTTCAATGCCACTAGGGCGGCTGTCTGGTGCAGTAGTCCCAACAGGACAGTACCTGGGGATGTTGATACTCGACTTGCCAACCGAAACCAAGTTTTGCTCTAGGGCGCCCTGGCTGAAAGCCAACGGGTAAGCCAGGGCCATGACCCTGCTGTGGTGGCTGAGGGGTCTTGAGGTGTGAATGTTGTCAACCAACCTCCTCGGAGGAAATGGTTTACGGCTAGAGATAGATAGATCATTGAATTGTATAAATACTCTGTTACTCTGGAACAAAATATCTCATCATTTATTCTTGGCTTGCAGTCACGTGACCCATAAACTTCCGGTTGACAAAGTGGTGGTCAGGCCAGCAAGAGTTGCTGCTGATATGTGAAGAAAATGCGACTCTTCCGAGTATTTCTTTGCTTTTTTGGATATTTCATGACACTTTGGTTAACGTTCTAACTCATCATTCTAACAATATGCACAAGGCAGTATTTTTACACTACATGTTTTGGTAATATCAAGGTTGAAGCAGTGTGGGCTGGTCCCGGCTCAAAAGTGGCCAAAATGACGTGCGCTGACATGCTTGCAATACCACCCCGGGCCGATGGGGGTGGACCCAGAAGAAGAATCAGCCAATGCTAACATATAGCATCTTCTTACCTCTCGAAAACGTCTTTACAGGATGGACCAAAAGTTGGCTCTTGGCCCAAAGCTCCGTTCCACATGTGTCAATGCTGAGGGGGGTGAATATTTTTGGACCACTCGCTGTGAATTTTTGAAGTCTATCGTTCAAATGAATGGGGCTCGCGCCGGCTGACGCATGCGCAGATGCGTTTTTTCACAATTTTCTTGTGGGCGGGACCACTCGCGGCCATTTTGAATAGCTCCAGTAGAGCACTACTTTTGGCCCATTAGTTAGAACGGGGGCGACAGTAGCACAGTTGGTAGAGCATTGGCCTTAAGGCCAGAAGGTCGTGGGTTCATTTCCCACCTCTGCACCTTCTCCACCAACTCCCACTGATGACTGCTGTTGTTGTGTCCTTGGGCAAGACACTTAACCCCACTTTGCCCAAAAAGCCCCCACTGAAAGATCAAGGCTATGCTCACACTTAGAGCAGCCGTCCTCCTGTGGACTCACCACCTGCAAAGGATCAGTGAGGGGCTGGTGCTATGGGTGGCATCTCTGACTGCCACCCCCCTGACCCAGAAATGGATTAAAGGGTAGAAAATGGATGGAGTTAGAACGGCGGAGATAGGCGTGACTCTGTCCGTTAATTTTTACAGTCTATGGTTGAAGCTACTGGCACCGCGGAAAATGCTAATATTTGCTAATATGCTAATAATGCTAATAAGTCTCCATTCCTCCGCTGTATGTCACTTACATTCTGTAACGTCTTTGTTTATGCTGTCTCTACCATCGACAATAAAACATGTCTTCTGTCTGAATTAAAGACTCGATCCTAGTCTTCACTTTAGATTCTAATCCACAGCTAGTGTTACCATCAAGCTTTTGCACTGCTAAACAAATGAAGGTTTGGAAAAACATGGATGCTGCAACTTATCCGTCTGCCTGTGGGTTAAGGAACTCAGAGTTAAGGTCCTGAAGGACACATCCTGCATCGTACAGAGCCGTGTAAGTAAGGATAGGTGAATGAACTTGTCATTCTCAACAAAACAATGCGTCTGTGGCTGTGTTCTTTTCAGGTCAAAAATTCACAGTGTTTATCTAAAATGCTGACTCATACCTGACAATTAATCAAATAAAGATGGGGATGTAATAACTGCGCATTGTGACTGCATGGCTCAGTAAATAAATAATCCTTCGAGGTAAAAGCGTTTGCTAGTGAAATGTTAGCGAGCCACTTTCCCTGCGTCTTTTTGTAAAATCCTCAGTGCGAGGCCCTTTATTTATGTCTTCAAGAGGAATCCTAAAGTATCCATTAAAGGTTTCGCAATTCGATCGGTTAGAAAACTTAAAAATAACACACGCAAAAGGCAGATTCCACATGCTGCTCCAGTGAACAACGAGCTTGGCTGACCACCACTTTGTGATACGCATATGTAATGAGGCAAGCAAGCAATTGATTACATATATATAGAATAAATATAATAAAATAGTGTGAGGAAAGTTTGGGAGATGAGGCGGCCCACTGGCTACACCTTTATAGGTACATTTCCTCTAAACTGTTTCCTCTCAGCTCCATGTCACTTTACTGACCTTTGATTCCTCAGTGATGGTGACATTTCACAGCAGAGCCACTTTACACACATCATAAAGAATAGCCTTTATAGCCCATTGACACTGGTGTCAGGCACAGTACTCCGCGCCAATAGGGGCTGGATGTTCAGCCATACATGTATGGAAATGTCAGGAAGGAGAGTGTGGAGGATGAGTAAAAGGCTCCGTCTCTGCCTCTCTGCTGCCTGTGTGACAGATGGCTCAGGGGTCACCTCCCTCACTGTGGTTTTGTCCCTGTGCCCATTCAGCAGTACCAAACCCCGGCAGCAGCAGTGCAACACAATCACCACTAACTCCCACCGGTGGCCACAAGTCTGCAGTTCAGCACAGCAGCTCCCAGCTCTGTGCCGCTCTGACAGTGAATGGAAACTTTTTACACACTCCCAAGACAGAACACTTTTTGTGCAGTTTAGCTGACACACTCACAGACCAAAATAGACCTTTTTCTTCAGAAGCCATTTAGCCAATCTTTGGAATGACTTTGTATGAAGTGATTCAAAAAACGCTGAGCCCTGTGTCTTTGAAAAGGTTTCACTCTGTGGTCATACTATGTAGTAAAAGGCATGAAAAATTCATTATTTTGGTAAAAATTATGCATTGCAAATGTTCAGATTTTCTCTAAAACAATTATATTGATTTTACTTGTCTCTTGAATTTTTTTCTGTTTATTCCAGACTGCAAACAATATGCCATGACATGGCGCTAACGAAAGCCACACCAACACAATTGACAATAAATGTACTCTTTTTTTTGTGATTTCTATTTCTGTATGGACTGTTGTTTTGTTTTTCATTTCCTTTATGTGTTTGTGTATTTGTTGTTGTCTTTTTTGAGTTTCTTTATTTTTCTAGTTTTTATTTCTGACATTCCGCAATAACCAATTTCTCCTTGGCATCTTTTTCTTGATTAATCTGAAGTGTAAAACTGACCGTGTCCTCTTTCCTCATATTGCGGTTTTACTGTCTGTCCTTGCAGTCCAACACATCGTTTAACCGGGACGTGGTGAAGGCTGGGACAGGCCGCCGGTTCCTGGGTGGACTCCTGGACCACACTTCCTACTGCTACACTCTGGAGGTGTCCTTCTACAGCTACATGACGGCCGGCAGCAGCACCCCCGTGCCCTACACTGAAGACACATGTATCCTCTCACACACAAAAACATCCACATACTCTTACTTCCATGTTATTGAAATGCCAGCTCCTGTTTGTTTGCCACTACTTTGCGCATCCTCGTAAGGTCATTGGAAAGCTGTTGCTCTTTTGTTGCTGTTTGTTGCGACAGATGTGCAGCAGCAGAATGGGAGATGTGAAAGCCGTGTCTATTGATTTCATTTACAAAAGGAGAGGGAAGAATGGGCGCTCGTGTTGGCGTATGGAGAACAGTGTGCTGCTTTGATTGGGATAAACAATGGAACAATGGGCTAAACATGATTCTTGTCAACTTCAATCACGCACACACCTACAGTCTCACTGGTAGGAAGCAAAGGTTACGCGCCTTAATTGAGCCAGTGAGAGCAGCAAGTTTTCCTCTAGGTGACCTTCGCAGGGCTAAAGAGCTCCTTACAGCCAGCCAAAGGCGAGCCGATCTGAGCGATAAGTGAGTGAAAGGGAAGAGAGATTTGGAAAGATAAAGAAAACATACATGGAGGAACTGCAGTTGGAAACCTTTTATACTTTTATCTGGAGGGAAGGAAAAAGGGGAAGTGATGCAGTGCCCTCTAGTGCTAAGAAAAAACAAACTAATCTTCATTTTATTTAATTTTGTTGGTTAATAATCCTGAAGTGACAGAATGACTTAAGTGTTTCTTGGACACGCTTATGGATTTTCTGCTGCAGACAACTAACATTGAATAGTTCCAGCACTAATAATTCAGCTTGCCTTGAAAGATTTAATGCCCAGTCATCTTGTTGATGTGTGTTATCATGTCATCTGCCATCTGTGTTCAGCCCTTTCTCTCCCTCTTCAGTGTTTGGGGATGTGTTTTTAAAATGGCATCAACAGTCAAATATTTAAATTTTGACATTGGATTCAGTGTTTGTGCAAAATGTGTTTTCCATGTGAGATTAGTAGAATCTCCTCTGAAGCGAGTGCAAAAGATGTGTGTGTAGTAGTTGTTCAAACGTTGTTCGAACGTATGTACGCCAAAAGACAAAGACAAACAGGATACAAATATGCGCTTGCTCTAATCCCTCTCACTCATAACACAAAACACACACACACACTCTCTCACACACTCACACACAAGCACACAGGCCCAACACTCTCTGACCATACACCTCCCACATCATCAATTGTGTGCGAACGGCATCACTCTTTTCCTCCACATAGCTTCCCAGTATTTGTGAAATCACATTTGAACATGTTTTCATTCAACTGAAGTTTTTTCACACATATGTCTCAACCATATGTGTAAAAAAACAAGCTTTTAAATCTGAAAATACAATCTATTTCACCTTCAGCAATGACAAAAGCATTGAGTTTTGTCAAACCCATAGACTTTTGTCATGACTGTAAAAATGAAAAATGTCTCAAATCTGGCCTCAGAGCATTGTATGCCAGCTGTAACAACAGCTTCTGTGACCTGTCCATGCTCTGGGCACAGATAAGCGCTGGTGGACGGGACGTTTCCGCTGAAGGTCGATTTGGGAGGTGCACTTGATCTTTTATGGCTCCAGAAGTGCATGTTTTGTTTTGTTGTGAGGGCGTGAGGGGGAGGGACTCCGCAGGGTGGGCTCTGTGCACAAGGGCCCGGTGTTGAGTGGAGATTGAGGTCAGGCAGGTTGAAGGAACCAACCATGTCGCTTTTTCCGCCCCAGCAGTCGGCGCGTTGAAGCGTGCAAATCATCAACAGAGACCTTTAGCATCATGATTCACACCCCCACCTTGCTCACCTGATCTACGCCCTGCCCTCACTCACTGTCCTCCAAACTTATACATGACAAATAAATAATAAGCCCACATTGACTATAGTACGGCCAACTGCTGTGCTTGGAAATCTTCAGCTTTCAGAGAGATTTTGTCACAGCTTGAGTGCTATTATAAAAGTGTGTGTGTGTATATGTGTGTGTTTTACATGTATGTGTGTGTGTGTGATCGTTCTGAGGCTTGTCCCTTGCTCTCCACATGTCTTTATGTCCTCCCATCTCCTCTGGTCTGTCCTTTCCTCTCATCTCGTCACACAGGCGATAACGGCTCATTATATCATCTAGTCAAGCTGAGAAAGCTCTTCTCTCAAACAGCGGGGACAACCTCTGTCTTTCCGTCTCCTCTTTGTCCTTTAATCATCCCACACCTGTCTGTGTCTTTGAGTGCGGCCCTCGTCTCCTGCTCGGCTTGCACATGCAGAGCAGAAAACACAGTGATTTCAGGGAGATTCTCTCGCATGTGTGTATGGGAATTTTCCAAGCTTGGGGACATCTTCTGTGTTTTTCATATTTTAGCATTTATTGCACGCTTTTTGGAGATGCTTGTTAGGTTCCTGGCCAGTCGACTTATACAGACCGCTGGAACTGTTCTTCTCCTTCCAAGCGGCCATGTTTGATAAACTCCATTATTCATCAGATGCCATGTGCTTCCTCAAAGGAATAAAGGGACATGGGCAGCTCACAGAAGCATACCTATGAGTGGAGTACACAGTCGCGTCAAGCTAAGCGGAGATGCCCACAGACTCTTCACCGGTGGACAGACTGTGACAAGTATGCAAATGAAATCGCTCTGAGGCAAATATGCTTCACCAGCCCATCATCCACATCACATCCCACTGATATGGCCAAATGGATTGGAGCTCTCTCTGCAGCGGAGCACATGGCTTTACACACAGACAATTACACAATTATTGTTAGCATGCATGCTCAGAGGAACAGGCTTCTTCTGAGAGAGGCACTTATCTCTGCGATTTCGTTTGGTCGGCTCATGGGAAGGTTCAGAGAAATTCATGACAGTTATGACACACTTTGATCCTGTGTTTTTACAAGGAATAAAATGAATGAATGAATGACAATCAACTTTTTTGAGCTTTTAACCATAAAGCAAGTTCCTACATCTAAAACAGACCTGGAGTTGTTTGTAAATTCATCCATGCTTCTATCTAAGCTCCTGTCTCAGTCCTGTAATATGATGCTCAGAACAGTTGTTGGCCTTTTAAAACAAAGATATTGCTCATAAATGACTTCCTCGTTGCTGAGAGCATACGGATAGTGTAGGCCATTGTTTTCACATTGTTTACTTGTTTCACCATATATTTTAAGACATTGCTTCACATTCAAAAACATGAAATGACAAAGAACATGCATAATACTTCTTCTTTAAATCTTGTTTTAAATTAGATGTGAGGTCTTGTGGTTGCATGGATACCCATCGGGGACAAAATGCCTCTTTCTGTATCACTGTTGTTGTTTCACCTCTTAATTAGCATTGATAAATAGTTGCCTGTGTGTCATTGCTGTGACAGGAGCTGTCAGTGGTCAGTATTGATGGCTTGAATGTCCCCTCTCTTGACTCCTGTTAACTGCAATCTGGACAGCATTCTGCCCGTGTCTTGTTGCTTTTACCACTAGAGGCCTTGTTGTCTGATTGTCACCTTGTCTGTCTGTCTGCCGTACCAGGCACCTGGGACACAGCGCTGAGTTCCGCTAAATGCCGCGCTGACAGTAAACAGCTGCAGTAAACATATAATGGCCGTCCCCTTTTGTCTCACGCCTCCCGTATCTCATCAGCCCCAAAGCTTTCACGCCCTTGAGCCCTGACAATGACCTATTGATCAGACGCCTTCATTATTTGTACGAAGATGTTCAGGATCGCCGCGGTGACAGCAGATGACCAGACACGTGCATTTGACCTTTTCCCTGCCTAACAATAATGAGCACAATTAGAAATACTGATGACACTTTACTCAACAGTGCAATATTCAAAGTAGTTCCTGAAGTGGGATTTGTGCCAAGATGTGGAAGCTCCTCTCTCTGCCGCCCACTGTTACCTGGCTCTCGCTCCTCGCACGTCCTGCTGTTGAGGCATCCATGGACCAGAAGGCCGCTTCCCCGCAGCAGCAGACCATGCAGTTGTCAGGGCTTCCTCTGTGTCTCCCTCCACATTGGGCTACCTATAAGAGCTGACCGTCCATCACCAAACCTGCTGTAAGAGAGGTAGAGTCGTGATGAGCCAAGCTGAGAGGCCATCTGTGCTCATTGGGTTTGGGGAGATGTTTTTGTCGCTGAGCATGCTTGGCTAAAGAGCTTGTGATTGGCACCGTGCTCTGCTGATGAAAGGAAATAGAGGAGAACACCATTAACTTTCCTCAAGTCTAAATCTTGGATCAATGACACACACAACAATTTTCAAATGTGATTTTTTTCAATGGACCAGCAGCAATATTCAAACATTATACCCGATGCTGAAGTGATATTGATGCATATGTATGCATTTTATTGTGAAAATGATACAAGTGACCCAGCTTAGCAAGGGTGAGGGAGGTAACAAAACAAGTGTTAAAATGGTAAAAGAAGCAATCTAATAACAGGGATGTAAATGATAAGTTGACAAAAACAGATGGGTACAATACAAAAGGACAGAAGGGGGAAACAAAACAAACTAACACTATCTGGACAAACACAGGGCTAACATGGTTGTGAAAGTGTCAAAAATAACAGTTCCTTTATTCGTCCCACAGTGGGGAAATTTTGGTGTTGCAGCGCACAGGGAGCACACAAAATATACAAAATACAGAATGAGTAGTAACTATGTTTCTTAACTAGCTGTAAATGCTTCAATACCAGTCAAAACAAAAATAATATATGTAGTAGTGCGGAGTTATATACTGTACATACATATACATAAATAGACTGTATATGGAAGGATATAAGTAGATAAAGTAAAGTGACATTGTTCAGTGGACATTCTGAAGTTGCAGTATTGCACATTGCACATGATTGCAGTATTTACTTATTTACAAATGAATGACATTTACAGGCTCAGCAGTTCTCATTGTACAGTCTGACAGCAGCAGGAAGGAAAGACCTACAGAACCTCTCCTTCACACAGCGAGGGTGAATTAGTCTGTCACTGAAACTGCTCTCAAGAGCAGAGAGAGTGTCCTGTAGTGGGTGACAGTCATGGTCCAGCACAGATGTTAGTTTGTCCAGGACCCTCCTGTACAAACGAAACCCGAAGTGACAACTAAAATGAGTGTGTTTACAAAGCACTAGTGACAAACGAATCCTATACCGACTTAATTTTAATTTGGCTGATGAAGATGCATGTAAACTGGCAATTGTAGAATAACCAGCCCAGTGCTGGTGCGCACAGATTCTACGGCATTCAAATGTTTGCAGAAAGTAGAGATGCCGATGAGCTTTCCATTTCAGGTCGTTAGACTGAGAAACTTCTCTACAATCTGCACATGGGAGTTATTAATAACAACAGGCATGTGAGAACTGCCTGGCCTCCCAAGCTGGAGGTTGTTAACATTACTCCACTGAACAACATTTTGGATTTCTGCTCTGTAAGAAGATTCTGTAAGAAGGCTCCTGTGGACTCACCACCTTCAGGAAGATCAGTGAGGGGCTGGTGCTATGGGTACTGGGTGCAGCTCTGACTGCTACCCCCCCGACCCAGAAATGGATTAAGGGGAAGAAAATGGATGGATGGATGGAAGAAGATTCATCATGAGACCAATGATGGTGATGTCATCAGCATCTTTAATGATCAAGTTAGAGTCAGAGGAAAACACACATTCAAATGTGTGTACAATGTAAAAAGCAAAGGACTTGAAATACATCCCTGAGGAGATCCGGTGCTCACAGAAACACACATCTAAAAAACAGTCATTGATTTTGACCCTCTGAGATCTGTCAGTTGTGAAGCCAAACATTCACACCTGGCATCACTCAAACCGAGAGACATGAGTTTTTCAATCAGTTTACCTGGGACAAGGCAATTAACAGCAGAGCATTATTGGATGAAGAGATTGCATGGAGAGCTGTCTGAAAATATGAAGTCATGTTAGTAATTATTATTATTATTAACATTGTCATAATTTCAGATGGCTCTTCATCCAATCTTCATCATCAAGTACCTTCAAATGACGGCTTTGTGAAGATCCCGGCTGCACTGGCCTGATGCAGGTCCAGACAAACAGATGGGCATAAACACAGGCTGCGGCGTCCTGTGGAGAGTGTTGCTTGCTCTCAGCTTTTAGTGAAAACAATGAAGTTCTGCCCAGACTCTTGAACATTATGCATAAACAGCCGTAAAGGCCAAGGTGAAAGCACACAAAGAGTAACTTCCTTGTGCAATTTGATACTTGTATACTCTTGTGTGTGTAAGTGCATTGTTGAAACTTGACAAACTATTAAGCCTCAAGTGTAGGCGCAGACAGCCCATTAAAACAAGGATAGATGGGTTATAAGTTAACAGCTTTTAGAACAAGGAGCGTTTCACCTTTATAGCTGCAAGGATTTATGTTGCTAAGATTTTTGGTCATTACAAGGAAATGGTGGAAAAATAAAAACAAGCTTTTCTCTCATTAGTTTCGCCCATTCAGCTTTGACTGATGGATAGTCTTGGATCAAAGCACCAACACAGAAATGACACGTGATGGATTCGGCTTGTGACCAGATGAACAATGGGGATCATTTATAACCAGGAAGTAAAATTATTCGATCAAAACACTGCCAAAGTGAAGTCTACTTTTTCACAAATTCCTGAATATAATCATCTTTACTGTGTTTTGTGATTATCGAATTAAATCTAAACTGTTATGCACTTTACATTTTGAATTCTGTGTTTACTATGCAATTTCATATGGTTTTCTTTTCTTTTTTCTTTTGTGCACGAGAAGCACTTTGGGCAGCTGGTGTTGTTGTCAATATGCTATACAAAAAAAGCTGACATTGACATTGTCATCAGTATTTTCGACAACCTTCTTTCTGACCATTTCATGCCAGAAAAAGAGCTTTGAGAGATGCTGTGACATTCTGTTGACCCACAAACATTTGCAGATCAACAAACATAGCAGCTTCTTATCTTGTATATTTTGTGTGCTCCTTGTTTGCTCTTTCTACTGTCTTGTATGTGCGCTGCAACATTTAAATTTCCCCACTGTGGGACAAAAAAAGGTTGTTTTTTAAATTTCATCTTAATATTGTCACTTTCCACTCCCCAGTGATATGTCGCACTTTGCTTTTTTTTTTACCAGAATGGCTCTTATACATTGAAAGCATCACTGCTATTTCCACCCTCCACTGTTTCTTCATTATACGGATTGTTATTATCACTTTCATCAGCTCCTTAATGACCGGAGGCTTAGCAACCACACTCGCATGGACCCCTTTATAAAGTAGAGGGGTTATTGATATGGTCCCTATAATGTAGTGCGAGACAATTGGGCAGAGCGATGTTACGTGGCTTCACCGCTGCATTTAAATAAGGGTTCAGAGTAAGTAATTGCTTGTGTGTGATTCATTTGAGCTTCATGCATTTAGCTGACGTGAGCATTGATTTAGGTGTTGAGCCAATGCAGTAGTTGCTTCAGATTTATGCCGCTATTTTTTCAGTTGTACTTTGTTTGGGATACATCATGAGCTGACTTAAGCTGACTAGAAAAAAGGAGCACGTTTTGTGTGTTGCAGTTCTTTATAGCTTTTAAGCGATAGTGCAAGCAATGTATTGATGGTGTAATTTACAGTCTGGTACGATCTGATAAATACTTGTGGTCTATATTGTAATGTTTAATGCAGGATTCAAAGTTAATTTGTTTAAAAAGTTCAAGATTTATCTTTGTATTCTGAAAAAGATGAATGAGGAGATTCAACATACTTTGCACACTCGAGTTTATACAAATGATATAATCTTATCTGGATCTAAAGCTTGGACCTCACTTTAAAACTACATCACTATAGTATGTAATAGGGTCCAAAAAAGTGTGGTTTTATCACTAGTTTTCATATGAACGCATTTAGACCAGCTTTCTCTGATGTAAAAGGGAAAAGGACTCCTCAATTAGCCAATCAACATCCAGCCCAAAGAGTCAGCTATATCACAGGGCTCTTTTTGCTTGCATTTCTACCAAACAATATTTTCTGCTGGGATAAACAAAATGTATTTATTCATGAGACCTAAATCTGGGTACCTCAGCTTCAATGCAAATCCTATAGCCTTTTTCTTAACATATTTTTTTCAGACATGAGACTGGGTAGGAATGTTGCCCGAACCTTTTTAGATTACTACAAACTCAACAGCCTTACTAAAGACAATATTCCAACTCCTATTCTAAAGTAAGTACAGGTAAACTACTGTTAACCGTGTGAAGAACCATGCACAACTTCCTTAATGTATTTGTATTTGTTTTGTTTCTTTATTTTCAGCCCTGACCCAATCTCTCCAGCAGTCAACGCTAATGGAAAGGGCAACATGGTCGGCCGAGAGTCTACTGACAGAGAGAGGGAGAAGACTTTCAAACACTAGACAGGCAGACACGGACTGAGAATGGATCAAAATTCAAAGCGCCGTGGCAGGAGGATCCTTCATACTTCATTGCTTTCTGAATCTCCGAATCACCCCGGCTATAAGGCTTATTTCCAGAGATTGGTTACAGTGCTTTGACCGGTACCAGTGGATTATAGCCAGATGAAGTGTCCACCTGAGTGGTTAAGCGACAATTAAATATGCATTCTTTGAAAGCATTGAAAAACTTTTGATTATACACTCTTCATTCATTTTTATGTTTTATGTATTTAATTTTCATGAAATAAGAATACAAGAACTGGGACTAGTTAGATGGATTTGAGTATCAGCGTTGAATAATGGCAATACTTTCCATAGCAGTAAGCAGATGCAGGCCGTCATTTAAGCACATTTGATATATTTATTTTATATCAGGCAAGGCAAGTTTATTTGTATAGCACAATTCATACACAAGGCTATTCAAAGTGCTGAACAAAATAAGAAAGCATTAAAATCATAAATAATCACAGTACATTAAAAAGAGAGATCAAAATATAAAATCCCTCAGTTGTATGCACAGCTAAACAGAACTGTCTTTAACCTGGTTTTAAACATTGTCAGAGAGGAGGCCTGTCTCACACTTTCAGGAAGACTGTTCCAGATTTTAGCAGCATGAATCTGAAATGCAGCCTCCCCACGTTTAGTCCTGACTATGGGCACTAACAGGAGACAGTGTGTGAGGCAAATAGTATTTATGTTATGTTAATATATTGATATATATTAATAAGGGGGATTTACCTATTTTATGTATGTTTTTTTGGGCGGGGGGGAGTGTTTTTGTTTTTGTTTTGTTTTTTGTTTTTAATTACTTTTTAATTGCGGGAGGAGAACCCTGATTGGCCGCGTTGTGGTCACGTGTTGCACGTCCGGTGTTGAGGCGCAGCTATGACAACCTCCTCATCATTCACAAGTTTCGCTTTTTGAAAACATGTCGCCTTAAAAGTGTTGGGGAGATCTCTCAAGTGTCTTTGGACATTCATTCAATAGGTAACTTATCTGATGGACTGAAGGTTTGTTTATTGTTTTAATTAGATTCAAAGCTAACGTCAGTCTGTGATTAAAAGCTAGCATCACAACGCCCCATGCCTGCTTCCCTTTACGCTGGTTAATGCTAGTTAATGCTAAGCTCGTGGTCCTTGTTGGCTCATTCAATGTTTTATCTCTGTTAACATGTATTTTCTAACCTTTAAACATCAGACGCACACTTTTAACTTGAATTGTCAACACATTACTTGCATTTAACTTGGGCGTGTCTTCGTACTCATCATCTTACCACAGTAAACACAACTAATGAACTAATGAGCAACACTAGCTGCTTATAACCAGTTCATACCAGTAAAGTCTGTTTCTGGGGGCTTAACACTGTAGTTACAAGTGTGGCTTTGGTACTGATATTATGTCTGCATGATTCCTGCTTCCAAATGTATTTTCTAACTTTATATTAAAATACATGGCCCAGTGTTTCCGTACTGTATCGTAAAGGCACTAATACTTTCACAATACATTGTACTTGTACTGTATCTAATAAACAAAGATAAAATGGGATTAAAAACACAGTCATGCTTTGATTGTTATGTCGTTATTAATCACTAGTTAGAGTTGTTTTGTATTGTTTTCCACTAATACTAATACCATCTAGCCACATGCTCAACATTAATATTCTGGATATGTATTTTCAGTAATTGGCCTATTACAAAAAATACAAGAAAATTACTATATTGACTTTTGTTCAATAACTGATGGATAAAACAATTTACTTTGAGACCCAGTGCGTTCTTTGCAGCAGCGGTATAAAGTAATTTCAAGATTATTGTTTAACGCAATCCTTTTCTGAGTGTTTATAGTTACACAATCAGTTGTACATGTTTACACGTTTTGATTTTATTCTGCAGTAATCACAGCTACTGTCATAATCTACCAGGACAGGCCTAATTCACAGTACATGTATTTAGTCACTTCCCAACACATGCTCAAGGTGGGCCTTTTTTATTCTGTATAATGTGTTGCACTGTAGGGAAAAGCTCAACCAGGGACAGGAGTTAAAAACTAGCAATAGCTACGCTCTCTGCATGTACCGCATCAGTTGCATCTTTCATGCTGTAACTATATGGATGAGTACATTGTCCCTGTCAAATAAATAAAATAAATACTAGAACAGAGCCTTATACTTGATGCAGCACTGGAGGACCTCATGTCTCCCCTTGAGCTCCCACGAGACAATGATCTTTGAGAAGGTGAGATTATTCAGTGTGCATAAATCCTCACCTGTAGCTCTTAAAAGCGTGTTGCTCATACTCCTCTTTTTTGGCCTCACAGCTTTAGTTTCTTTTTTGTGTGTTATTTCTGCTTTCGACCTTGCAGACCGCATCACCTGTTGTAAAAATGCCTCTCTTTTACCCCTGGGAGAATGACAAGACCAGATAGTAGCCCATTTGTCTTATCTTGTTATAGCTATTGATTTGTTTTGTCTGTACCTCTTCTTGTTTCCAGATTTTCCCTGGTGTCGTTGACCCTGCTGATGTAGCTGACCTCCAAGAAGGTAAACACTCCTTTGGGACTTGCTCCTCATTTCGTAGGCCTGGGTCTTTTGCCATGCAAGCTTATAGTCTATTAACCGCGTTTCCGACCATTAGCTCCCGCATTATTTGGGCTCTCCCTTTTAGCTGACGCCGCACGTTTTGAGCTGATTCAGACGGTGCCTCCAGGTATACTTTGGGATCATTCCGCCCATCACATCTTTGCATTACACGGCGTAAACTGCATTCAGCCACGGTTTGCATTTGTGTGTCTTGTTTGTTTAGAGGGTGAGATCTTGGCGACCTTGAAAGAAAACACAAGAGTTTTTGTACACAGCCGCTGAATTTAAATCCGGAAGAACCACAGCAGGGCGAGAAAAGCAGTGTTTTTGTATGCTATGTTTTTTGTACTTTTTTCGTATGTTTCACTTCTGACAGTCTTCCTGAATACAAACTTTGTTGTTCCACATGTAACATTTTATTATATTTAAGTTGTTGTATTTAAGTGGTACCTGAAACATTTATATAATTCAGCATTGTCTTTCTTCTTAAACACCTTTTAACCTTTCTTTATAAATTACTTACTTACTTTCCTAAATGTGTTCTGTAGTTCAATTGATATAAATTAAATATCATAACTGGGGTACCTAACCTTTTCTTCTCCTAAATAATGCATGTTGTTTGTAAAATGTTGTGAACAAATTAGACCACAACATGCTGCCTTCGTCTCAGTAAACTGTACTTTTGCATGCTTGTAAGACAGACATCACTATTTGACGCTTTAGGCTGAGAGCTGAGAAAAAGTTGTCTGTTTTCTGTCTGACAAAACTGCTTTAAAGATCTGGCCAAAAATCCATTAATGTGAAAACTAGTGCTAGACGCAAACTTGTGTTACTTGTTTTAGGGTTGAAAGTTGTTTACCTCAGCTTTAATACAATATATTTAGTTGAGAAGATATTTTTGATAATGTAATTAAGTAAATGCTAGTGTCTCACATATGTATCTTAAGCCCATTTCATTAAAAACTATATACTGGTATTTATATGTCATATACCGTTATTGATGTGTCATAGCATTTTCCTCCTTCATTGTTTTGCCATTATGAGCATTTGAGATGTTTCTTTATCCACCCCCTTGTCCCCTTAGACACAAACCGGCACATTTAAATGTCTTTAAACACTGCTCTTCTCACCGTTGCTTTGATGTGTTTGTGTTTGAGGCCAACATAGCAATTTAGATGTCTTATTCCAAATGCCATATTATTTAAACATCACTGGAGCCTTTTCTCTTCTGCAATTTGTTTTTCTCAAGTCAGGCGTAGATTGGAGATTTGTGCCTGTAAATTGGGCTTGTAGGCAGCACTGTTGTCTATTTCAGTCTTTATCTTGAAGTTAAAGGTGCTGTGATGTGACTGTTGTCTGTCATCCTCCAGGGGATCTCCTCTTAAGGTAGACTTTTCCAGCACATCAGTCATTCAGGAGCGCCACAGCGAAGACAGCTGCCCCGGCTGTAAGTGCGTACTTTTATTACACAGAACGGGCCTGTCCAAACCACCACAGTATTGCTGATTTGCTTCTGTTTTTCTTGATAAGTTGTCCTTTTCTTCTTCGGGCAGCCCTCCATATAATGCCTCGTCTTCATACATCAGTTGTGATTGTAAGTTTGCGGCTTCTCAATGCTTAGACAAATATGAAAACGTTCTGAGTCCCTCAAAGTGGCTCTCATAAGTCAAGTGACACTGATGGATAAAGCAAGAATGCTCATTTTGATTCATAAGATTAAGAGATCCATTATTTGTCCCACAGCGGGGGAATTTCAGTGTTGCATCTCCAGTTATAGAACAGTAGGAATGAGGAGCACACGGCACAAGATAAGTGAACAATAGCTATACTAAATCAAATAAAACAAAATCTCTAATTCTAGCATAATGGATAAAATGTGGACGTATCTATTTTCTTCGTCAAACAATGACCTTTTACAGTGTTTACCAATGACAGGTGAATCTCAGAAAAACAAAAATATCGTTCAAAAGTCCATTTACTTCTGTAATTCAACCTTTAATGTGAAATATATGGTGCTCATTACACGCAAAGGGAGATAAAGCAAGCCATTATCTGTGTTAATATGGCTGTAAGACGATATACTTTAAAGCTGCTCTGCCTGTGTACAGGGCCTCGCACCAAAGTACATCCGAGACATGTGAGTGCTGTATGAGGGAAGCAACTCTGACTCTGTGGAGCACGGGGACTGGCCTCCTGCTGGTGCCCAGAGTCAGGACTGAACATGGGAGGGTAGCATTTCAGGTTTATGCAGCTAAAATCTGGAACAGTCTCTCTAAAATTGACACATGCTTCTACTCTGAAAAATAAGTCTGTTTAGCTCTGTATAGAACTGAGGGATTGTGTCTTCACTTTCCACTTTGCATCTTTTTAAAATACTGTGATTATTTATTATTGTAATGTTTATTTTCTTGTTTTGTTTTGAAAAGCACTTTTTGTGTAATGGATAAAATAGAGTATGTTCATATTTTTTCAATATTATTTTAAAAGCAATGCACTTTTAACACAATGAATCGTCAATTAAAATCAGTGTTTGTGATTGGTGACCATGATCAATCCATGTATTTAGTTACTTGTGGTTCGGCTCCCCACACACGTGCAGCTTCATCCTTGGCGACTACTACAAGCCACTCACATCTTCCAAAAGCGTACTTTTATAACACCAAACGTCCAAAACCCCAGTGTAGCTTTTGTTGCTTCTGTTTGTTCTTGATCAAAGTTGTTTCTTTCTCATCTGTGTAACCCTCCCCACAGCACCTTGTCTTCACACATTATTTCTTATTGTAAGTTTGTGGCTTCTCGATGCTTAGACAAAATCAAAAACGTTCCCTCAAAGTGGCTCTTATAAGTCAAGAGTGTGTTTTTCAGGCGCTCTGTCTGTTCTCATGTCTTTGAACCTCGAAGCCACTGCAGCTGCACTACAAACAAGTCCAGTGTATGAACCGCAGCCAGAGCAGCGAAACCTCTTAAGGCGTCTAATGAGTGGTATCAGTCCCCATCACTTCCTCCATACATACCATCTTCTATTGTTGCCATGGCTACTGTGTGTCCAGTCGGGCACCGATTCAAGGGTATCTGCTCTCCTACGTGGAGGCAGATCTGTGACGCTGATAGTACAACCTTTATCACTTTCCTTAGTGGCTCTGAGTTTGGCACGTAACCAGTTTTACCTCAGGACCTCAAACTGACCTTGTGGACTGACTCACAGAGACATTTCATCACATTGTTGGTAATAATCCCATTTGTGTGTTATTTCTGTGTTTGTATGGTGCAGTATGTCACTTAAAGGCATCAAAGAGGCTATCCATCTCACAGTAGTGGTGGGGATGTTGTGCCAAACACCCTGCAATTTCCCATGTGCTGCATCTAAAGCTAAGCTATTTGTTTAAATAGAATGTCATTGACAGCGAAGCAGATTGTCAGACTGTTCGCTCGGCCCCAGGGGGTGTCTGGATCAGAGCGCCGCTGTGGCTGTCACAAAGTAGAATTTCTCCATTTTCTCTGTTAATGGATCCTCAGCATTGGTATTTCCTTGACTGCCTGCCCACTTATGTGACAAGCCAAGAGATAGACAAGTGCCATAAAACCAACAGTATCGTTCTATTCATTTATAATTCTACACTTTGCCCGTGGGTCATCAGTCCTCATCAGGGAAACCTTTATCTCCTTTACTACTGAAGAAGTGACAGTTCTCAGGACAAAGACGTGACAGAAGTCAGAGACAGGAGCATTTGAGACAAAGCATTTATTAATGATTAAAGTGAAAAATTAACAAATGGAAGCCTGATGAAGACATATTCATCATTTAGTTTCTCTTAAAAAATCTTTTAATGTTGAGATTTTCCTAATTAGCTTTTGGATTATATTGCTCTACTGTCAGGTAATGCCTCTTTATCGTATTAGTCTGGAGATGGCCATCAAATGCAATTAACATTTTATCTTAACTTATTTATCCCCAGTTGGCATTACCCGCAGGAAGTGGGATATTGCGTTTGGAGAATGATGTTAGTGGCCATTAGAGTTATTGAAGTGATTCTGCCGAGGTTGTCTCCATGGCAGTGCACAAACAGGCAGAGCTGCTGTTGTCGTAACACTTAAGCTGAATGATTTAGCTAATGGTTTAATGCTTGTGTCCAGGGAGAACTTGTCTGAATCAAGACCGAGAGCAGCTGCCTTTTAATAGCTAAAATGGCTGACTCTTCTATAAATGAACAAGAGTGCAGTGGTCTTCGGAGAAATGAGAACTGCTGAGGCGAAGCTCGTGTGTGTGTGTGTGTTGCCTTTACGCGTGACTTTGAAGCATCGGAACAATATATTAACATTTTACTCTTTTCATTTTCTCGTTTCCAGAGCAAATGTGCTCCGCTGAGAGCGTCTCTGTCCCCAGGCGCTACAGGAAAAATGTCTTCATCTCCTGAACCACTTTGTCACTCGGGCTGGAAAACTCCGGCAAAAGATGACGGAAACTACGCCTCTTTGAAAACAGAAAAGCAACTCCAGCGCGCAAAGGCTAAGATCTGGAATGACTGTCAGAAGTTCACATGTAGTGCCTCCAAACCGCAACAGAGAGGGTACCTGCAGCCCACGGTGTCCTCCAGAGCCCGGGCACTGTCCCCCTACACTCACCGCAGGATGTGTCAGCTCGCAGATGAATCGCAGCAAAGACTGGGCCACCTCCAACTCGGGCCGCACCTTTTTAAGAAGAGCGCCAACAACCCAGCGCCGTTCTCAGTACGTCCCCCACATGTGCTTTGCTTTCATGCAGATACGTGACCGGCCCTCGCTATGTTATTGTAAACCTTTGAAGGATTGGGATTTCTTTTCATAATTTGGCACAGCAAAAACAAATAAAACCCACCTCAGCCTGCCTGACTAAAAGAATTGCACTCCTAAATTGCAAAATATCTCTTCAACATGCTCTGCAAAAGATGATTGATTAAATAAAGGGTAAACACAGCTTGTATGAAGACATTTTAAAACATAATTTGAGTACATTTTGACAGATTTGCCGATGGAGCAAACATAAAATGCTCTCTGTACTTCAATTAAGAGAAGCAATTTCTTACATGGAATGAGAAAAATATATATATATATTTTATAGCTATATTGTTAATTCCAAACGCACCACAGTAGCGGGATTGCTACAGGACACTTTCTGTACAGCACCCTGGCTTCCCACAGTTTTATTTTTCATTTTGGTTGATTGTACTTGTCTCTTATCACGTTTCATGGCTTCAATACTAATCTCTTATTATATCTCCCAGAACAGTAAGGGCGCATATGAAGGACCACCTGAAACTGACGCATAAAGGGTTGATATTTCATTGGCAAATCTTTCCTCCTTTTTAATATATTGTAAATATATAATTTAACGATGCAGTCAGTGATTTTTTTCCAGACGCATTTTTTTTTTCAAATATTGTGGGAAAACATCCCTAAACCCTAAAAGTAGTGAAGTTATCATGTGTTTTCAAATAGTAATGGAATTGACCAGATGCCTATAGTCTCCAAAAATTAATAAAAAATATGTTGGAGAGGACCGATAAAAATAAAACTGTGCCTTTAAAAATAGTGATGATACACTCAAATGAAGTTAAACAAATATGAACAGAGTAGATACAATTGCAAAGACTTGTGTGAGGCAATAGAACTAGCTCAGACATGACTCAAATGGAGAGATTTTGACTTGACATTGATAAAATTATGCTGCTCTACATAAACAAGCTTGGAAGAAAAGCATGCTTCCAAATCAAGTTAACGACATCTAAGAATGATACATATTTTTCCTATAAGCGAGTTCACAGTTGGACTTTGGCATAAGAATAAGTACCTGTACCTCTCTTTTTCACCTTCTGACTTAACAGCACATGGCCTGCAGTGATCTTGCTACACTGTTATTTATCAACAGTTTAATTATAGCTTTATCAAACCAACCGTAGATTTGCATATAAAAGGAAGTGGATTTTCTGATCTGCGAGCCCAGGGGAACATGCGGACAAGCACAGCCTAGTTTTTCAAAGCCCGCCCCCCCTAGATTTGTCTCTTATTCATATCAAATCCAATTCAGACGTATGAGCATCAAAGCCACTCTCCATGCATTATTAAAACTGATTAGGTGGTGTGCTGTTTGTTTATACCACAGCGAAAGAAGTTCACCAGACATAACAGGCAGATTACTACAGAACGGCCTGTTTTCCTGCTTTTCCTGTGGGACTATAATGTTGACAATTAACCCTGGTAATTGAGAGCCAAGCCGCAATTAACAAATAGATGCGTAATGAAGTAGTATGGCCTCATGGTGAATGCATTACCAGTGATAGCAGGAAAGCCTCAGCAGAGAATGGTATGTGCAACAGCTGCGTGGAAGCAAAGATGAAGTAATATTTAGTGACAAGGCACGGTGGCTGAGTGGATAGCACTCTCGCCTCTCAGCAAGAAGGTCCTGGGTTCGAATCCCGGTCGGACCAGGGCCTTTCTGAGTGGAATTTGCATGTTCTACCCGTGTCTGCGTAGGTTTCCTCCGGGTACTCCGGTTTCCCCTACCACTAAAAATGTGTACAATAGGTCTAGCATGCGCCTCGTGTACTGGCGACCCCGCTCCCATCTCTGTGTGGAGTGAGAGACAAATGCCCAAAATTAACAATTGTAAACCGCTTTGAGACTCAGATTTGCAGTGAAAAGGCGGTATATAAATAAAGATTACTTACTACTACAAGTAATCTGTTTTAACACAGGATAAAGACAAGACCTGGTCCAGCAATGTCCATGTGTTTCTTTGAACTAATTCTGTTTTTCACTTCTGGGCAGGTCCCTTTGTCAACTAACTCATCACTTATGGAGTCGTATTTGTCCTCTTCATATGACGGAGCTCAGGTTCATGGTGACATGGACCAGCGCGTCTATAGCTTCAGAGATGACTACACAGGTACAGTATTACGCACTATTTTTGTTCATTTAAAAAGGAGACAATTTATTCTCTCATTTTGTGCTTTAGAATGTGAGAAAATATCTTCAGTAGAAAATATATGGTGAAACAAGTGTCAAGGGTAAAAACATGCTTTCCACCTGTAACTCCCTTAGCTACCACCAGGGGGAGGGGTAGAATGTATTTGTTTTTCCAACTTGCTACAACCATTGGGCAACACCTTTGTTTTAAAAGGTAGAGAACGACTTTATACAGGACTGAAACAGGAGCTTTGAGAATAGTTAGTTTTGTGCCAGATGTTCCTGGTATTATAACTACATATTGCTTGCACTAGAATACAGTACTTTATACTTGTCTCCTATTTTGCCAAATGTAAAAATTTTACTCTTTTTATTATTATTTTCAAGATTTCAAGATTTTCAAGAGATTTTTTACTTGTTATTTGATGCTAGAGTTAGAGATTTTGTTTCACTTTAATGAGTATAGCTATTGTTCACTCATCTTGTGTGCTGCTCTTTCCTACTGTTCTATAACTTGTGATGCAACACTGAAATTTCCCCACTGTGGGACGAATAAAGGATCTCTTCATCTATTAGTGTGAATGGATCTAAAAACAACTTCAGGTCTGTTTTGTTGGGACACAATGTCGTAACAACTCAAAGAAGTCAATTTGCTTTATGCCTCTTTAAGCGTTGGCTCATGGATGTGTGTGTCGTATTTTGTGCCATGTTTTAAAATGCAATTAGACCCATTTTTAAGCCTGATTTGTCCTTGTAGATGCGTCTCTTCTGAGGAGTTCCGGACGACGTGACAGAGTAAGTCTGAGCTGCTCTCCAGGCTTAACATGAATAAGTATCACTGTGCAAAGTAAAAGTGCGTATTGCTCCAACCCTTCACAGCCCAGTGTCCTTGTCGCTTCAAAAGCAAAGCATTTGGATGTAATTAAAACCAGACTGTGACGGTGGCACAGATGTTGGGACAATTTATCAATATCACATTCAATAACAGCTCCATTAATAAGTTAACTAGTGCCTGCTGCTATGAAATGATGACCTTAATGTTTTCACAACAGTTCCCAAACCTTGTGGCTAAAGCAGTGCTACGAAAAATATGGGAAGAACTGTTTTCTCCTCTGAGTCTGTCTTTGTTGCACTTTTCAGATGCAGTGGAGTCATGTGAGGACCCAGTCATCTCAGGAGACTCCCTCCAGACGTGAGGCTCGCCCCCGAAGCCCAGCAGAGGTCCTGAATGAGTCTACGTCCCTGTGCGCACCAGCGGCTGCACGCTCTTCTCTAAAGGAGAGGTACAGGCATCACACAAGTCTATTTAACTATTGGTTTACTACTTTTTCTTTTGTTCTTTATCTCGGGGCCAGTGCGCTATGAGTCCCACTCACACACACACGATCTTTAATTATGATCACACCCAACAGCCAGGATGAATTCCCCTCCACCCTTTAAATTACACAGGCTGATGTCTTGTCATGTTTGTTCATTACTGGGAGCGGAGGCAGAGCGAAGGGAAAACAAAGAGTAAAATGGTATTGATTTGTGTTTGAGCTGGAGTCTGATGCATTTGACTCAATGCGTGCTTTAATACATTCAGAGAGACCTTGTCATCGATCATGGCAGCTGCGAGCTGAACACAGCAATGGGAGCGATGTTCCGTTGTGTTTGTTTGTAGCCGCTCCCTTTCCTCCGCTCAGTCCATAAGTAAACATTAAAATCAATAGACAATCTTAAACCGCAAAGTAAATTGCAGGAAATGAATGATACTTTTCTCACAATTGAAAACGCGACACGAGTTGGAGGGCAGGAGATTACGGCTGGCGGGTGTAGATTCTCTCCAACATGGAGAGGGGCACGTCTCCTCTCACTGCTCTGAAGATAATGATAGATGCCAGCGGCTGCGTTTGGCCCCGAAGACCCACAGCCCCAGTCTATTCATGTGCCTGGATGATTTGTCCTTGATGACTTTTAGAAGCAGGTTGTTGCTTTATCTGATTAGATGAAACCGGAGTTCACAGCGCGGGCCCAAGCTCCACCTTGTTACAGCCACACCATCCACAAATAAATGTGATCCAGACGCAATACTGGAATTTATTACATCTCACTTCAGTCTGTCCGTCACAGAACGTTATTTCCTAAAGGTCTGGGGCCAGCAAATATGTTCTTCTGCTACTGCTCGAGCAGTAATATTACTTTTTATGCACTTGGGATATAGTTCAACATACATTAATTGTTTCATATAAGATGTATTGTCCAAAAGACGTGACCAGATAACGCTCCAATGGAAACCGATTAGTCTGCTTGTGTTAGAGCACAGACTAGTGGACAGAGTGAGTACCTCCATCCAACATTTTCAGCCAGAGGTTTGTCTGTCAGTGATGAGAAGTTTGGTATGGGTCACATTGGTCATAAAAACATTTTATTTTTATATGATTCTCCCCAGATTCCAGGCCCTTGATCCAAGTCCATCGTACAGCGAGCAGATTCACAGACGGGTCCAGAGGATCCTTCAGACTCACAAAGCTGTCGTTAGATGATCCCTGAATGTCCTGACGATAGTCACTATAATCAGACGTATGGCACTGCTCAACATGAAGACCTGTTCAAAGAGAAGCCTCCGCTGGGCCCTCTCCTCCACACTCACGGTGAAACCAAACAGACACGTTTTTAATTTCTCAAAAGCTGTGTGAGATTGGACGGAGAACAGAGCGGCTGCGTTGTGTGTGGGAATAGATGGTGGATGTAAGCTGCAGCTGTTAAGAGCTCATCTCACAATACAAAAGAGCGACAAGCAGGACGCCCAGAGCCACCGCTGGAAGCAGCGGCTACAAAAGAGATTTCAGAGATGAGAGCGCCAGTAATCCCACATGAAAGCACAAGACACAGGAATGTATCTTGAATTAAGGCTCGGCATTTAATTTCATGTTTCATGGTATTGTCTTCCATTATTTTATTGATTTGACACAAATTGTATATTTATCAATGTACAATTTGTAAATGAAATAAATTGATTAAAAAATATATCTTGAGGTTTAAAAAAATACTGATTATATATTGTACTTATTGTATTTGTAAGTTAAATCAGTCCATAACATCTTGGGCTTGTTCATTTATAACATGACACACAATGTATAATTAAAGGTTTTACGATTTCTTATTCGATTTCAGGCTGCTATCCAGAAAACACTTCTTTCCAAGTCCTTTTATTTCTTTTGGAATTTGCCTTTTTTATGCCTCCTGCCAGCCGTCTGCGCCGCCTTCTCTGCCATGATCGTCTGGAACTTCCTTTTGTTTTTTCTGTTTGAACAAAGAAAAATAGCAATTAGCAGAGTTTGAGAACATTGTATCTAGCAATTATGTAACATTTATGTAAAGAAATGTTTTTAAAAGTCCCGACATTATAAGGGAATACGATTAACCGCTTCCACTACAGCCCTAAAGGAGACAGGACTAACTGCTTTTCACTGCTCCTTATGCCTCAAGCCGTCTGCCACAAGGAGCAGAAAGGACTATGAAGCAGAAAGGGAGTAAATGCACTTACTGTCTGAATTCAGCGTCAGCCAGAAGCTCCTCCACCATGGTCCTCTTGCGGTCCTTCTTGGCGATTCGGGAATGATAGAAGTCCACTGGGTTGTCCACAACAGTTCCCATCTATGGCAGGTACCGTTTGATCAGTGTCACTTTTAAACACCTGCACTGGTTTATTGCAGCGCTGCATGTGAAAAAACAAACCTGGAAGTATTTGGGGAATCCATCTCGGTCATTCTTTTTGTAGAAACGTTTTGAGTCCATGGAGCCGCGCATCCTCAGCAGCTGCAGGTCTCCCTTCAGCTCCGGTGTGATCTCGGGGGCCTTCATGTTGAACCAGGCCTCTCCGGTGGTCTTCGCCCGCTCTGCCTTTAACAGAGAACATTCAGATGTTTCAACACAACAGTTATATTTTGCCATTGTTGTTGTTAAACTTGCTCCAACTCACTTTGCGTTTGAGCTTCAGGGCTTTTTTAGTCTCGTTGCAAGGAGGCACAGCGTCTTTCTTTTCAAAGTCAGGACCAATCACGCTCCTCTTCATCACCTGCGGACCGCGACAAGCACGCATCAGTACCAGCAGATAAAAGGCCATAGAGGTGGAGGGAAATGTGGACAAAAGTGTTGCGAGCGTTATTGGATTAGCGCGCCCTTGCATAACTACAGCGTTTATCATTCAGGCAGCACGGCAGATCACCTTCAACGGGGGGTGGAAAAAAATCAATGACTTATTTACCTCATCTAGGATCTTCTTTTCCCTGTGTTTTTGTTGCGAGTTGGAGACAGGTTTTGATTTACTGCCATCGAAACTGATGTATAAACCCCCGAGCTGCTTCATTCTGAGGCCTGGGTCAATACGGCTGGACAGCGCTTTGCTGGAACAAGCAAATTAACACAGTAAGGCCTCGTTACGGACAGTGGTGATCCAGGACATCTATGGACTATTGGGTGATGTCCTCAGAGATAATCGCTGTTGTTAGAGCTATAGACAAAAATCTGCTTAACTGTACCATGAATATAAGCATAAAGACAGTTACACATGTTTCAGATCCAGAAAATAGAAATTGCACTGCACAGATGTAGTTATACTTCTGCCTTGAATAAATATAATACATAAACTGAACATACATTGAAAAGTTAATATTCTTAAAATGCTACCTTTTTTATACTATCCAATATATTTTCTATGTACCTGTCGTACTCCACTGGGTTAAATGAAAAGTCTGTCCAATCCTGTTTTACTGGGATAAAGCTATATTGTGATCGTGTCTCTCTCTATAGTGATGTACTTCAAAGTATTATTTCTAGCAATATCCCGCTGTAGCAAGGAAGTGTTATAATGGGCCTACAGTCTGGCTTTGTGGAATGACTTTGAGGCGACTGCGGCTGATGGTTGGACCTGATCAACTTCTATGAACCATTCAGAGGTTTCCATGTGAAACCAGGGTTTATGCCAGTGTTTCCCACACATAGACTAATCTGTGGCGCACCGCCACAGATTAGAGACCGCCCGCCACAAATTGCGTTTCGTATTATTATATATATATATTTTTTGTTACGCTATTTAAAACATGCATCGTCTAGTGCCGCCGCAGCGGTCAATTTGACAGCGGGGAGGGGGGTTTAAAATGTGGCGGCCCTTCGTAACTCTCACTCAAGCTACGCGTCTCTCCCACATACAGAGACCTACACACACACAGCCCCTCCCCTTCGTGCACACCGCGTGTCTCCGTCTCCATCAGCGATCATCGCTGTAAGCAGCTGTGTCTATTAATTTACCGCGGTAAAGTGGCCCGCATCTTTCAGCTCTATGAACATGCGGCCAGCATCGGGGAAAAGACGATGCGCGTTTTGTTGAGAACTTACGGTAACAGCGGAACGTCCTTTCGGAGTCACCCATTTTTATCGAACAGAAAGCGCGCTGGGGTCAGGGAGACACGTTTTTGTGATTAAAACCTTATAGAGATGCCACCCGGCACACATAGCACCAGCCCCCTACGATTCCTCCGGCAGATTGTGAGTCCTCAGGAGGATAGCCACTCTATTGTTTACATGTATAAAGTACACAATTTGGTCCGCTAGTGCAATTTTCAAGTATTGTAACTATTTACTGGAATAAGGTGTGCGACTAATTTCACTTGACTCATGACCTTATTATTGCCCTCTGCCACTGTACCAAAGACCCAGAAACTTTTACTGTAGAAATATTGAGAAATATTGAGGTAAAGTAGCCATTTTGGTCCAAAATACCTCCAAAATAGTCAAAACATGTCACTTTTGATCTACTGTAACTTTTTACTGTAAAAAGGTGTGCGACTAATTTCACTGGATTCATGACCTCAAGATTGTCCTCTACCACTGTACCACTGTACCCCACTACCCCCCCCCCCCCCCCCCCCCCCCCCCCCCCCCGCCGACGACCACCACACATTGCCTTCAAACCTGTGGGAAACACTGTATGCACTTACAATTGTGGGTCCCTGCTGGAGAAAAGCACATCAGCTGCATCGTCATGGTCATCGTCATCACCCTCTTCATCCAAAAACTCCTCCTCTTCCTCCTCAGCCACCTGGCCTCGCTCCTTCAGCCTGTCCTGGTAGTACAGCTCGTCTGCGTCTTCCCCTGGCCGAGTGTCAATCATAAAAAGTCCCTCTGCTGCTTTCGTTACTTTCGTCTCCGTGGACTGGAGTAACTCTTCACCGCTTTCCTCCGCTTCATCGCCAGAACTTTCTCCAATTTCATCTGCAAAGTCGTCATCCTCATCACTGCTGTCTAAAAGGTTGATCCCACGCTTACTTTGGACTGCAGCGCCCTGAGGTGGCTGCTCAGAGAACTGCGCTGTGGGTTGACTTGATGTGCATTGAATAGGCTCCTCTTGCTCTTCTTCGATATGACACGCCAACTCTGTAACGGTGTCGACCCCCGCCTGGACCTCCCCTTTCTCTGAATTTGACACCAAAGCATCACCTTCTGGGTTTTCCACATCATCGTTGCCATCTTGTTGTTCACTGCCACCTAAAGTGTCTGCATCAGCATTAACCATGATCACATCATCCTTATCCTCTGTGGTCTCATCATCGCATGTTGAAGAAGTTAACACCTTCTTGAGAGGCTCAACTGTTTCCATCATTTCAGGCTCTAAAGTTTCCTCCAGCAGATTTTCAGTCGTCTCCTGCTGTTGCTCGCCTGCCATTACTGCAGGTTCAGCAAGGCCCTCCGTCATTTTATCAAGCTCATGATCTGTTGTAATTGACTGAAGAAACCTATTGCCCCCTTCATCAACTGTAGGTGTTTCCAAACAGGCTTCCTCTGCTGGTTTTGTTTCTTCTTCTTCAATTAATGTACAGTCAGAGCCTTTCTCTAAGACTGTACTTTCTAACCTTGAATCAGTCAATGAATCCTTGTCATCCTCTAGCGGGACTAAAACCACACTAAGCTTTTTAGGTAACACCAAAACAGATACTACTTGACTGTTGCCGATTGTATCAGTCCTGTTACTACTCTGAGTCTCTTGTCTATCTATGTCAGTGATGTCTGAGTCTGACTGCAATTCCATTTGAAATGTGTCTATCTTGGGGTTGGTTTCCCTGGAGCTCGGCCCGGACTCGAAACCATCAGAGTCACAAGACATTGGATCAGAGAACATTTCAGTTTTGGCTCTCGAGGCCCTGGTCCTACGGACTACTGGACGTGGAGACTGGGAGGCCTCAAAACACTCATTGGGCTTAGATGGTTTGGCTCTGACGCGTGTAGATCTGCGTGTGGCGGATTTTGGTGAAATGCCAGTAGTGCTTTCTGCATCAGACATATCTGACTGTTCAGCAAGCAGCCGACTCGCTCTCATGCGCCTACTCCTCTGGGATGCTGATTTAGTACCTTCAGATGGCTGTTTTTTCTCATCTGTCACCTCACTGGCAGAGTCCAAAGCATCTGCCCTGGTTTTCTCATCTGTCACCTCACTGGCAGAGTCCAAAGCATCTGCCCTGGTTTTCTCATCTGTCACCTCACTGGCAAAGTCCAAAGCATCTGGCCTGGTTTTCTCATCTTTCTCCTCACTGGCAGAGTCCAAAGCATCTGCCCTGGTTTTCTCATCTTTCTCCTCACTGGCAGAGTCCAAAGCATCTGCCCTGGTTTTCTCATCTGTCTCCTCACTGGCAGAGTCCAAAGCATCTGGCCTGGTTTTCTCATCTTTCTCCTCACTGGCAGAGCCCAAAGCATCTGGCCTGGTTTTCTCATCTGTCTCCTCACTGGCAGAGTCCAAGGCAACGGGAGCCCGCTTCTTCCTGGTGCTTCTCCGAACAGAGGAACAGGACTCTACTTCGGACAAATCCTCCTCTTTTTTCTCTACCTTTTTCCTGGTGCTTCTCCGGGTCAGAGGTGCCACAATGTCAGACACAACAGAGCAGCAGGACTCTATGTCTGAGGGCTCCTCTTCATGCACGGAGCCCACTGGGGTGCAGGGCTTGTCCGGGCTGTGCAGTCGTGATGCTCTGGTACATCTTTTCCTGGCAGAGTTTTGGACAAAGCAGTCTTGCGAGAGTTTCTCCAGCTGAGAGCTGGCCTCCTCCACAGTGGTCTGAGTGGGGCTCTCTGAAGAGTTAGCAGTTCTACGGGTTCTTCGGCCAGTGGATGGGGTGGCCTGGGGAGAAATACAGAGCCTATGTTAAGATTTGGTAAAAATATACAAAGGCGTATAGGAGGATTCTATACTTTCAGCTGGTCATCCTAATTGTCAATCATTCTGATGAAGAGTTTTTTTTTTAAGTGGAGAGGGCGGTTCTTTCTGAAAATTTGGTAAAAATCTCCTACATACCTTTGAGCTATACGAGTTTGGGGAAAATGCGATTCAATCTTAACATGTAGAAATTGTGGTTTCGTTAAAATTGTAACATTTAAAATATAAAATTTAACTGGGTTTGTTATGACAAAATGTTCAACACATTGTTACAATAAAATTATGAACGCCAATCAAACGGCAGTAAAAATCAAATCAACTAGAGTTACATCTGAGTGTGATCCTTTATTGTTTACCCTTGTACATTAAATTGTAATAATAACATGGAATATATCAATAGAAAACATTCAAAGTTTACAAACTGGCTCTAAACCACGTGAGCCGCGAGCCGCAGACTCCTCGTCTTCAGAGTTCATCATTCAGATATTACAGACGGCACATGACGCACGGACAGAGATGGAAGAACAGTGTTCATCACACAAACCTGTGGCGCAGAGGAGATGCTGGAGTCCGCTGTATTCGTGGCTCTACTCGGGGAGCTCACGTGGACCCCTCTCCTGGTGACCACCATCTTGGAGAGACTGTGCTCCACTTCCGCTTTCCGCCTGATAGTCGATCACCGAGATGAAAGCATGGATCCAGGGAGAAACTTTCGATCACAGCAGCAAACAGCCAGGAGACGTGACAGTTTTGTTGTTATAATGTAAATAGCTTCAGTTTGTTTACTATGTATACGTTCGTGGACTCTCTTAGTGCTCTAATAAAGTCATTACAATTATTTTAATAGAATATCCACCTTTATTGCCAGAATCTTCCTTTCTACAAATAGATCCTAAGCACTGAATATAAAATTGTAAAGATAAATATTATGGCCATAATGTCCAATGTAGTTTAATATTTACAGTCTATGATTTTAACACTACTTCCACTGTTCAGAAAGGGTCAAATATGTTTTGTACATGTTGTGCATTGTTCATTTCAGTGGTTCTCAAACTTTTTTCATCCGTTGGCCCACATTCACACTCATTCACCCTGAACCATTGTACATGGTTTTAGTGGTAGGGGAAACCGGAGCACCCGGAGGAAACCTAAACAGGCACGGGGAGAACATGCAAACTCCACTCAGAAAGGCCCTGTTCTGACCAGGATTCGAACCCAGGTCCTTCTTGCTGAAAGTGCTTCCCACTCAGCCACCGTTGAGTTGTTTTTAAATTACATCAAACTATTGTATCCACAGTGAGTAATGCGTAATAATATGTATGTATATGTAATATGCGTATTGTGTTTGTTCGTTAGTTCCTCTGTGAAGAAAAATGTAACATGCCGCCAAGACCATAACCATGGATGTAAAATATGGTACATTTCCCATGAAGTTACAAATAACATTTTATGCATCTATTATTTGAATGGGACAGTCGTATTCATAAACACAATAATTCACTCTGGACTGTTTTACTTGTTTTTAACGGTAGGTTAATCTGGTAACCTTGCCTGCAAGCTGAATTCTCGCGGTATTTGTGAGTTCACAAACACTCGAGAATATTGTGGAGAACGCATTAGAGTTCTACACAGTCATCAATCTGGCTCTTGCCAGGTTATTAATCTGGAGCACCCAGAGGAAACCCAGAAAGGTCCTGCTGCGACCAGGAAACAAACCCAGGACGTCTTGCTGTGAAGCATGAGGGCTAAACACCACGCCACCCTTTAACTGCATCAGTTGATGGTTCAAATTACCATTGCTTTTCACTGCGCTTTCAATGTTATACAGTGGGAGTCACAATTCAGGTTTTGGGGGTCCCTGCTGGAAAAATAATATAAAAACTAAACAAACACTGCCTACCATCACAATCTCCCCAGCCGTGCCTGTAGGCTCTTCAGAGGCCAAATACTTCTGAAAAGGTCTGAGAGATTAAGGTAGATTACATTTGTTAATACAAAACAAAACAATGCTGGGCAAGTGATTTTAATAAAGCAGTTCCATGATATACAGATATAACATGTTATAACAAACAGCACAGAAGAGTTTTACTTCATCATGTTCACTCTACCATGTACCAAGGAGCAGCAGCTTGAATTTAATATTCAATATTCAAATTAAATTACATGTTTTATCGAAGTGCAATGAAATAAATTAATGTGTTTCTGTATTATTAATCTCATGAGCTATTTCTTAATGTTCTCATATGAGAGAGTGAGGTGTGATGCCAAACTGCAAAAACATTGTGTTTTGACGTCTTGCACAGCCTGAGTCCTTGTTATAGCCTGTCTCTACGTAGGAGCGAACCGTCTCTTAATATGGGCTCCCCAAGGTTTCTCACTGGGTTATCGAGTCGTTTCTTGCCCATGCAGGAGAGTCCAAGAACAGAGATGATCCAAAACATTTAAGGGCCGTCATGGACATTTATGAACATTGGTCATCTTGCCCCCTACAAACCAATGGCTCCTGTCGTGTTTGTTATTATTGGATTTCCTGTGGTCTAATCTGTTGTTGAGGAGTCAACGACTTTGAGTCAACTGTTGTTGTGATTTAGGGCTATAAAAAAAGAATTGAATTTAATAAAGACTGGAGACTGGCCATAGGTGCATTCTGCAGAACCACCGACTTTGACAAAAGCACAACAGCGACAACACCATTCCAAACACAGACAACCTGGATTATGGGAGTCTAGGAATGTTTCCATATTCTCCCCATGTCTCATCCTGAAGCTCATCTATAAGAGTTAAAACTGGGGTACTTTACTTTTCTCAGTGAAATGTTGTGAACAAATCAGACGACAAGAGGCCATCTTCATCTTATAAATGTTGTCGTTTGCATGCTTTAAATAGCCCTTTGAATCACTATTTGACTCTTTGGGCAGGGAGCAGATTTGCTGATTGGGCGTTGCGGGGGTGACATATGGTCCTCTTCCTTAGGGGAGCCAAGCAGAAAATAATTGGGAAGCACTGGTACAAACATTCTATAACATGAAAAATATGAAGCATGGGATTTCAAACTAGATTTTTGGAAGACTGGAATGTGAAAGTGTTTACAACAAAAATTCATACATGGTCAGAATATAACTGTGACAGGTTTTCCTGAAAATCAAATCATATATTTGGGAAATTGACAAGAATCTGAGAGGCACTTCATAACCTCGTAGAACATAGTTACTTCTGTGTCCTCAACACTGCTGCACAAGATGTTGGTAGATGAGTCCAGTGTAATTGTAATAATCTATCAGCATTAAAGACAATGGTATAAAAAGATTTGAGATTCACTGTGATTAGAAACCTCTATTATAGTGTGAGGAACATCATGGCTTAATCCCTGAAGCTTCACTTAGACTGCTAGGGGCTGGCCTTCCTCGCACTGACTAAATAACCTTTGGACTTGATAATGCCTCTGCTCTTGACGATAATGGAGTATCGTAGAACCCATTCCAGCCTCCAGTCGGCGACACTGAGGTCCTGCGTCCCCTCCTGCAGGGCCTGCTGGAACGCTGCTGCCGACATGAGCTCTGAAGATACACAACATTTCAACGTTCAGGACTTCTACACATGCGCTTGAAAAACTACAAAACAAGCGATAACAGCGATCATGTTATGAGGCAAATAGATACATATGAACAAACTGCCTTTCAGCTCAGGAAAACTGTTCACCAAAACTAACAGTGTACCCATGTTCACACCTTTGGCGTCGTTGTGTGTGAGCAGCTGAATGTCAAACTCTTTTGCAAAAGCGGTGAGGTCTGGAGGCATCACGCAGCAGGACGCCAGATTCACCTGATTACTGCTGGGCTTGACCTACAGACAAACAAAATAAGATGAGATAAGATAAGCCTTTATTAGTCTCACAGTGGAGAAATTTCAGTGTCATCGTTGCACATTACAGCAGAGAAAGGAAATAAGAGCACTCAGATTGCACATATCAAAGTCTATTATTCAAGATAATAGACAATAAATGTAAGATAAAATAAAATAAAATAAGAAAATCTGGGCTACAATTGCACTTGGTTCGGAGTATTTACAGATGTCTATATTATACATTAGCAGCGGAGAATATGAGAATATGAGCAGAATAAACATCAGAAATAATATCAACAGGTAAAGTGACTTGAATGGGAGAATTATCAGATGGATATGAATAATACAGTAAGATATCAACAGGTAAAGTGACGGTGAAAGGCAGAATTATCAGATATGAAATAATACAGTAGTACTGATAACAGTAAATATCAGATATGTAGTACTGTAGTAGTACTGATAACAGGTAAAGTGACTAGTGACAAAGTTACTAGTGAATTATCAGAAACACTTGTGCAGACTCAGCAGTTCCTGTTACACATTCTCGTTGTACAGTCTGACAACAGCAGGGAGGAAAGACCTGCGAAACCTCTCCTTCACACATCGAGGGTAAATGACATTTATTGCAAGAATACACCAGTCATGTATTTTGTCATCCTCACATTGGCCAAACCTTTCCTGGAATTGTCAGAATGTTTTTAAATGCAAACAGTAGGTTTCTCCGAGAGGAGTTTGGTTTGACATGGAACAAAACCAGTGAGCTCCTTCGTTTCATAAAAAAACGTATAAATGTGACTTTGTCTTGGGGTACAACAGAGTGACACCACCTGGATCACGTTCAAGCTCACGGCCGCTCAAAACACCAGTGTCCCATTTGCTGATTTACTGATCGGGGGTTTTTTGGGGGCGACATGTTTTCTTCTCTGGCAGAGGACCTACACTCTTTGTCCAGTGGAAAATATTCTGTTTTGACATGATCTACATTCAGCAGAGAATTCAAAAAAAGATTTGAGAAAGTGAGACAATAGTGAGTAAATAAATGGCAACAAATTGGATCTCATTAAAGAGGACATGTCTTTGATAATCTATGACACCCTTTGCTTGTCTTTGTGTCCTTGGGCAACACACTTTACCCACTTTCCTTATGAGGAGCGCAGAATGTTTGCTGCATGCCTTGATGTGTATTCATCAAAACTGAAATTTTCCCACTGTGGGACGAATAAAGGACCTTCTTTTAGTAAATATAAAGTCCATATGACATCTCAAAATTGAACTAAATATAATAAAAAAGACAAACTTCTGTATTCTCTCAGGACGAATACAGAAGGATTTTAGCTGTCTACAAAACTGCTGTCTGGGAGCATTCATTAAAGGAGCTATACCCGTTTCTGCAGAGTTTGAATCTTCAGCACCGCCCTCAACTCGCTCACAGGCTTCTCATTTTCCCTACGCTCTCATCCCACGGAGCCATCTAGTTGTATTTGCGATCTATATGCTAACATTAGCATGAGCGCAACTTCTTGTAAGCTGTACAACAATCACTGATGAAATGGTACAAAAGCAACGCACTGATAACAAAATTTATAACTGAAAGATTGCTGCCAGGTCCGTGTCCGAATGTGGTCCGAGCATAGATAGTCCGAGGCGGTCCGCACCCGCAGGTGTCGCCCATAGACAAGTCTCTCCAGGAGATACGATGTAAGCTAGCTATGATCACCCGGGCTTGATTTCTTCTTTGATAATTTTTTCCCTTTAGTTTCCTCTTGTCTTCCTCACTGTTGTGTTTGGACTGTCTTGCTGTGTCTGCAGTTACAGCAGGAGGAGTTATAGCCAATTCTGCTAACATGCTACTGTTTTTAGCAGCGCTGTAGAGGACGCAGACTGTTCGTAACAGCGCCGCTCCTCGTTCTGTGAGTGGAGGAGAACAAGCGTCACACGAAGTTTCTACTTGGCCTGAATTCATACACAAGCTGAATCAATTATCAAATTACGCATTATAATACAACTTGTATGTAGTACTAAGCATTTTAATGAACTCATAAAAAAAATGACTATAGCTTCTTTAATGTAATGTCAATTCATTCTAAGAAACATAACAAATACCTTTAGGATTAGTGTCATTTGGTTGGAATTTATTTTTACCTGAGCCCAATTATAAAGTTGTTCCAAAAGATCTTTGTCCAAGTCAGAAGTGCCAATTGCTGCGATCTGTTGGCTGTGCACAAGAGCCTCCAGCTCCTCCCAGGCCGGCTGCAGGTGAGCCAGGGCTTGCGTGGCCCCCTCAGGGGGACCAGGGGGCGCTATTATAACCGAGTCCAGTTGGGACACAGCCAGTGTCTGGCAGGCTGTAGGGGGAAAATTATTCTGCATGTTCAAAATGACATTGAAGAATGGCTTTGCTTTGCCAACACATTAAAAACATACCCAAATTAACTGCTTCTTTGATTGAAGATTTATCAGACTCACAAAGAAACAGTTTAGCTGCAAGTATAACATCAACGTGATCCACTTCATTAAACAATACGTCATTTTGGAGAAGGAATTCAAACCTGAAACTTTGAGCTCTTCTCGCTCTTCGGGTGTTATTGCATCTGTTGCTTCAGGAATGGAGCAGTCCAGTGTATCTTTAAAGTTCTGCTAAACAGGGGCGACATTCATGACTGAGGCAAACAAACGTACAGATTAAGAGTATGCGCCCTTTCACTGTTGCAGAGAGCGGAGTACTGAACACCTCAACACACTTATGGCTAAGCATCAATTCCATTCATTCTGATTATTATGTGGATCTACTGAAAATGGTGCAGCACAGTTGAGGTGAAATCTTTAAAAAGCTTGCAGAATAATGGATAGCAAGTAACATTACAATATGAACCAATTCCCACTTTAAAATGGGTTAACATATGGCAAAATTTTATTGTAAAAAAAATGGGGGTCCTTGGAATATCTTCCGGCAGATAAGGGGTCAACAGTTTTGGATAGTTCTCTGACCCTGGGGGCCTCATGCTCACACAGGCCATACTTCCCCTTCTTGTGCTGGGCTTTAGAGCCAGTACAGCATGAACATTTATCCTGACAGCTCCTTTTCAGTTTGGCCAGTCCCCTCTTAATGCCCACCACTACGCTTTATCTTTCCCATTTAAAGTTTGCTGGTTGGTGTTAGTATAATCAACATTCTGCTTCAGCAAAGTCAAAAACAATTGTGTTTGCATTTTTTTCACCTCTATATTCAGTTTTGTCTGAGAAAACCAGTCGCTCAGGGTAGCTTGAATGCAGTCTTGCAGCTGAAATAAACAAAAAAACATATTATAAGACACGGAATTTAGAAAATCTAAATAAATAAACTAAAATGAAAGCAAACTAAAATCTAAAAGTGTACACATTACTCACAAGATCAGTAACTTTAGTATAAGTGAAGATTGTTCAGATTCAGTAGTCAACCATGAACTACATGTCATAGAGTAAGGTTGGCGAGTACAGTTAGTTAACTTTAATTGTTTAAATAAATCTACATTTGTACACACGTGGGTGTCTTTGAAACGTTCTTGATAGGAGTAAATAGTTAGATCGAGCTAGCCCAAAGCTAATGCTATCTCAGCTGTGTAGCATGTTTGTGTTAGCAGTCTCAGACAGATTCATGATGACTTACCTCTTCACTGGGAGAGCCAGGACACTTCTTTTTAATCCGGCTTCTGTTGACAATGTTCCCGGTGTGCAGCCTGAGAGTCTTTGCTTGGTTAAACATCTTTGCATTCACGCTCATGTTGACGTTTCGTCCGTCCACGTGTTTCTGTGAGGCTGGTCTAGTCTCAGAGGTTCAGCAGAAATACAATATTCGTCTTGTCCCGAGAGAGCTGCCCGGTCTGTGTGACAGAAAACTATGTGATAAATGAAAAGGCTGTGTCAGGATGACTTGCACTCGCACCGTGTTGATCTCAGAATACTACTGCTGCTCAGAGCCACGCCCACCCGGAAGTCATCACAGGTCATGTTATTCCACGTGACCAATACATAATCCTCATGTCTTACATGCAATGCGACAATGCAACGCTAGAGGGCAGTGTTCTGACAGTGAATAACTGCTTTCCCATTCACATAAACACTTTCACCCATTTTTTATTTCTTTAATAGATTATTTTTTCAGCTTTGTAAGAAGGAAGACTTTCCAAATCTTTATTCACGCATATTTATTTTAAATATTCAATATTGTTTTTTTTAACACACTTAAATACAACAATATAAGATCAAATAAAAGATTAATTATTCGTCCCACAGTGGGGACATTTCAATGTTGCAGCGCACAGACAGGACAGTGGTAATAGCACACAGGGAGCACAACAAATATACAAAATAAGTAGTAGCTATGTCTCTTAGCCAGCTGTGAATGCTGTAAATGCTATATATATATATATATATATATATATATATATATATATGCATATTATATATATATATATATAGAGGGGCTGGAGAGGGCCTGGAGGGTAAAGGTGACAGTAGTGCCCGTGGTGATCGGTGCACTCGGGGCAGTGACCCCGAAGCTAGATGAGTGGTTACAGCGGATCCCGGGAACAACCTCGGACATCTCGGTCCAGAAATGTGCAGTGCTAGGAACAGCAAAGATACTGCGCAGAACCCTCAAGCTCCCAGGCCTCTGGTAGAGGCCCCAAACTTAGGGAGGGATAAACACCCGGTATATATATATATATATATATATATATATATATATATATAATTGTCCACTCACCTTTGGCCCTCCGCGGGAGTTTATCCCTCCCTAAGTTTGGGGCCTCTACCAGAGGCCTGGGAGCTTGAGGGTTCTGCGCAGTATCTTTGCTGTTCCTAGCACTGCACATTTCTGGACCGAGATGTCCGAGGTTGTTCCCGGGATCCGCTGTAACCACTCATCTAGCTTCGGGGTCACTGCCCCGAGTGCACCGATCACCACGGGCACTACTGTCACCTTTACCCTCCAGGCCCTCTCCAGCTCCTCTCTGAGACCTTGGTATTTCTCAAGCTTTTCATGTTCTTTTTTCCGGATGTTACCATCGCTTGGAATTGCCACGTCCACCACCACGGCTGTCCTCTGCCCTTTGTCTACCACCACGATGTCAGGTTGGTTTGCCATTACCATTCGGTCGGTCTGTATCTGGAAGTCCCACAGGATCTTCGCACGCTCATTCTCCACCACCTTTGGAGGAGTTTCCCACTTAGACCTTGGGGTTTCCAGCCCATACTCTCCACAGATGTTTCTGTACACTATGCCAGCCACTTGGTTATGGCGTTCCATGTAGGCCTTCCCTGCCAGCATCTTGCACCCTGCAGTTATGTGTTGGATCGTCTCAGGTGCCTCTTTGCACAACCGACACCTTGGGTCTTGTCTGGTGTGGTATATCTGGGCCTCTATCGCTCTGGTGCTCAGTGCCTGTTCCTGTGCAGCCATGATGAGTGCCTCTGTGCTGTCCTGTAGGCCAGCCCTTTCTAGCCATTGGTAGGACTTCTTGAGATCAGCCACTTCTGTTATGCTCCGGTGGTACATGCCGTGTAGGGGCTTGTTCTCCCATGATGGGCTCTCCTCCAGCACCTCCTCATCTCGCCACTGCCTGAGACATTCACTGAGTACGTCATCCGTTTTGGCCTTCTCCATGATGTAGTTATGGAGTTTGGATGTTTCGTCCCGGACAGTGGCTCTCACACTCACTAGTCCTCGGCCTCCTTCTTTGCGGCTTACGTACAGTCTCAGGGTGCTGGATTTGGGATGGAACCCGCCATGCATGGTAAGGAGCTTTCGAGTTTAAAAATCCGTGGTCTGAATCTCTTCCTTTGGCCACCTGATTATTCCTACAGGGTATCTGATCACTGGCAGGGCGTAGCTGTTATATATATATATATATACATATATATATATATAGTCACATCTGCCCATGTGCTTTTAAATATGTAACACAATGTTGTTCTGTCTTCTTTTCTGGAGGTTTGATGCGCTTTCAATTTCCTCCCCGCTATTTTTACCTAATATGACCTCCACAAACATTCCCACATCCAAACATAAATCAAGCTAAGCACAATACCCAGGGTTGACACATAGACCTTTTAGAGACCTACATTTGCCCAAATGTAGGAACGAACAGCCCCCAAATGGCGGAAAAGCAAAATAAATAAATAATGAACGGGTTAACTTCAGTTCATGTGTGATTCGTTGTGCTCTGTCCTTTGGGGGCAGACTTTGTGTAATCTGGCAGTTGGACTGAGGTTGTGTAAATGGTGCTGTTAAAGAAACTGAAAACATGTGTAAACTGATGTGTGCTACCAAATCTTCTGTTAATTTACAAGAATTCTGAACTTTTCTAGGTTTTGTTCATGTGACACCACAACATTCCCAGAGCCTATAGTTTAACATTGTGATGGAGGGCAGCAGATGAATCTGGCAACTACGGTAAGTGCCATCGGTCAGATTCTAGTCTCATATTTTTGAATATTACTCTGTAATTCCTGGGCCAATCCACATAATACAAACACTGCCACAAAGTAGTGTACATGTTTATTTGTTTATTTATTTAGAGCCTGCACATTACATATTTTCATATATAAAAGAAAAATAACTTGTACCTGATTTGATAAGAGTTTTGATGAAGCAAATGCATATCAGCTGTGGTCTAATGATTTTCTAAAAAAAAAAACCTGATGTTGACCAGTAGGAATGACTTCTATAAGAATAATATGACAGGTTTGTGAATCTAATCACAATCAATTTATGATCTGGCAAGGCAAGTTTATTTGTATAGCACAATTCATACACAAGGCCACTCAAAGTGCTGAACAAAATAAGAAAGCATTAAAATAAATAATCACAGTACATTAAAAAGAAAGATAAAAATATAAAATCCCTCAGTTGTAGCACAGCTAAACAGAACTGTCTTTAACCTGGTTTTAAACATTGTCAGAGAGGAGGCCTGTCTCACATCTTCAGGAAGATTGTTCCAGATTTTAGCAGCATGAATCTGAAAAGCAGCCTCCCCATGTTTAGTTCTGACTCTGGGCACTAACAGGAGTCCAGTCCCTGTGCTCCTCAGAGTCCGGGCTGGTTCATATGGGACTAACACGTCACTAATATACTTTGGAGCAAGGCCATGGAGAGACTGTTTTAAAGTCTATTCTCTGAGCCACAGGAAGCCAGTGCAGAGACCTGGGATAACATTTGTAATTTTCTTGTTATGTGTCAAATCAGTTAAACACATACTTTAACATCTTTTTCAAACACTTCAAATCACGTCAATCACTCAGAAGGAGCAATTAACAGATACACCTTTCCAATGACACAAGCCATTATCCATAGCAAAATAACAGAAAAAGCTGCATCGTTTGTTGATGGATTGGGTCCTTAAAGTTTTAGCGAAGTCTTAAGACAGTGACGATGTGCCGTTATCGAGTTTCACGTGGGGCCAACTCTTGTAAAAGTTGAAGTGTTGACAGGACAGAGGAGGAGTGGTGAGTACAACAGTCAGGGGGGTGGGCACTTACGCACTATAAGAAAACAGCAGCTCTCTGGAACAAAGCTTTGGAGAGGATTTTACATGACATTGTGTGTGTGAAGAACAAGGTAAATGCTGCATGCTTTAAAAAAAATATTGATTTTCTTTTGCATTGAAGTTTAGATGCACAGATGGTTTTCAGTATGTTGTGTGAATATACCTCAATATGGCAACCTTTGAACCAATGGCATTTTTGAAGGGAACCAGAATATGCAGATTGCAGTGATTAGGGTAAGAAGGTCTGATTAAATGGTTTTGTTGCAGAAAATCTGATTTCAACATGAAAATTCAAGTGGTGCTGCTTCTCCTGCTGCTCTCCTGCCTGAGTCTCAGCATGGCCCAGGGTAACGTACTCATATGTGGCTCGGTACATGAACCTGGTCACACACATACGCAGTATTGATAACTATTGTATTAGATCAGCTTGCACGTTTTGACAAAAGTCTTCATCAGGGCAAGTGGCCACAAGTCAAACTAAAATTGAGATTAAAAACATATCTTTCTTGGCCAGTAAAGATCACAGCCATTGTAAGTAATAGTTTGTTGCCCACATCACTAATCCCTCTTTAATATATATAACCCTAACTCTCGTTACACAAGCAGAGGCAAGAATCCAATTATCAAATCCAACAAACAAACCAAACATTGCACAACCAGTGTTTAGCAGTTCAATTCAGTGCTTCCACGAATGGAACAAAATACTATCAAACAAGAGTTTTGGCAGTTTGACAGTATTTACTGGTAACTTTGGAAAGTGACACAATTCAAGTTTTAGTCATAGTTTAGAGTTAATTTCTCTGCAATTCCTGGGTCAATTTAATGTTTTCTTTCTATCAGTAAAACCTTTTAGTAAGCAGGTTTCTATAATCTGATGAGGCTGATAAGATTGTAAAGTCGTTCCGCAGTGCTCTGGGTGACACTTGACATCTTGCCAATATAAATCCACTCATACAAGAAAGAAACAAGTTTCCAATTAGCTAGTCCGCAAAACCAACCAAGCATTATGCAGGTTTAAAGTCCAGCAGACTAGATTATAATATAAGAGGCATGAAATGTTGTGATTACACCACTGCTAATTGCCGGACTATAAACTGCTTCTTTTTTCTAGTTCTTTAAAATCTGCGGCCAATATATCATTGCAGCCAGTGTATGCATTTTTACTGAGTAGAGTATCCCCTGGGGCAATGGAAGGAATTTGGACACTGCTCTATCAACTGTGGTTTATGTTTATGTGAACAGCAGAGACTGGACCCTGGTGTGATATTGGGCCCTGTAACATTAATCTAAATTTAAAAAAAATCTAATTTACATTTGCAAACATGACTATTGATTTGTATCACTTTTGATACATAGGGTATTTGTTAGCAAGTGTGAACAGAATCCCTCATATACAAAATGTGTGTTTTCCATCAGAAAAAAGGATTTCTATATTTTTAAAAAAAAAGCATTCCTCCATGTTACTCGAAGGCCTATCGATAATCATCTTCACCACATCCTCAACGCTGCAATTTTATCCCCTCTGAAAAAAATCTTAACATTTAATCATGTGGAATCTTCATATCTATTATTTTTTTTAAAAAAAACGACCTTACCTGTATTCTACTTTTATCAACTAATCCTCCCAAAAGCATATTGCTGCATTGCAGTAATTACTGATATACATCAATCGTCATAAATATCAATTATTTACGCCATATAAACCTGGATTATAAAGTTAAACAAAAATATAAAAATAAAACAAACTGGGTGTTGCTTTATTTGAGGCATTAGTCTTGAAAAGCAATGAAAAAAAATAGTGGAAAGAAATTAATACAGACAAGTTCAACATGGGTTTACTATAAATGAAGTTGTAAAATATTTTACGGTTTTAAATTGCATGAATCCTCTAAACATTGCCCTTGAAGTATCAGTGACAATGATGACATTTTGTTTACCTTAAAAAATTTCAATTTGAAATTATGTGGGTCAAAGACATGGATCTATAATAATAACGGGATAGGGTATAACTAGCTTACAGCTGTCCCATACATGGACAGCCCGTGATACTGCAAACAAAAATCACGTGGGCTAATCAGAAAAAAGTCCCATAGAACTCAAAGTAAACTAAAACAGCTCGACCTCAGCTGACAGAAAACCTACAGCTTTCATAAAGATCGGATTTTGTGGGGATTTTAGTGTCCCTTGTCATTCTGAACTTTTTTTCTTCTTAAATCCTTCGGTTTTCTTAAAATCCACACTTTACTGCCACAAACTCTGCTCCTTTCCTTCCCGCTCTGACTCCGCTCTGCTGCTGATCTGATCAGCAGCTCTGATTGGTCAAAGCGCGGCCGAGCCCCTCTGTGCGTGTGCTTGAAAGCCACACACGCGTATTTAGCGCTAAGCATCATGGGAGCTCATTCACTGCGCAGAACAGCTAATCTCCCGGACTCCATGAAGTCCCATACGCTACTGAGCGCAAGCAAGCCCCGGCGATCCAAGATGGCGCCCTATTCAAATGAATGGTTGTGCTCAGTGGCGCTTTGTGACGGCATGGGAGCTGAAAGATTAGCGGAAGTCGCCTGGAACTCGCAAAGATCTATGGGAAACTCGCCTGTATTTGGGCATCGTCTGGTCCTCCCTGTCACTCCCGTATTCGTCCCGGAAACCGGATTCGTCCGGAAGTTCAGTTTGATCCAATGAGCATACGCAGCAGTAGATTATGTCACGGAATCTGGACGGAAGCGGAAGTAAATATAACAAACTACCTATTCATGCCTAAACCCAACCAGCCATTCCCATAAAATAACCCCAACCCAGCCTTAACCCTAAACTTAACCATCGTAATCAGACGCCTAAACTTAACCAGTCTCCACTTAAGGGCATATTAAACTTTTTGACATGCGCAAACTGAACTTCCGGACGAATCCGGTTTCCGGGACGAATATGGGAGTGACACTCCCGGTTCTGTGCAGTGGATGATCTCCCATAATGCGTTGCGCCAAACACGCGTGTGTGGGTCTCACACCAGGTCTCACGCACGGGTCAGCACTAGATCATATACGGAATCGGGACGGAAGCGGAAGTAAATATTTCAAATTACCTATTAATGCCTAAATTTAACCAGCTATTCCCATAAAATAACCCCAACCCAGCCTTAACCCTAACCTTAACCATCTTACTCAGACGCCTAAAACTTAACCAGTCACCACTTAAGGACTTATTAGTCTAAAACTAATTCGAAAGTACGAGTGTTACTTCCGGTTTCGTCCCGATTCCGTATATGATCTAGTGCCGACCCTCACGCACGTGCACAGAGGGGCTCGGCTGCGCTCTGACCAATCAGAGCAGTTCATCAGAGCGGAAGTTAGAGCAAGAGCCAGACGAGCAGAGTTTGTAGCACCAAAGGGTGGATTTAAACAAAACCGAAGGATTTAAGAAGAAAAAAAGTTCAGGATGACAAGGGACACTAAAATCCCCACAAAATCTGATCTTTATTAAAGCTGTAGGTTCTCTGTCAGCTGAGGTTGAGCTGTTTTAATTTACATTTAGTTCTATGGGGAAAATTTCTGGGTAGCCCACGTGAATTCAGTCTGGTCTAGTCTGCAGTACCGCGAGAATCCCCCGAGCACATGAGTTATTCAGCTACAAGCTAATAATACCCTATCCAGTTATTATAATAGATCCATGAGTGCAAGCCATTCATTTGAAAAGGGCGCCATCTTGGATCACCGGGGCTTGGTCAAAGATCTCAATGAGGGTTTGTTGTTGTCTCACTGGCGTCACTTTAGAGCCTGAATTACTGACCTCTAGTGTATGGATATGTCCATTACAAGTGTCCATTTGTATACAACAGGTTTTTGAAAAAAATAAAAATAAAGAATCACACTGATTATGGAGGGAGTTAAAATTTGATTCAAATGGCAATATTATGACTCCATTCAGGTCCATGTCAAAGTAGGTTGGTAAAGGAGTCCCGACATCGAATCTACCGATACACATTTGTGCCCTTGGAGTTTATTACATAGTTTTATAAAAGCCTTTTTCATTAATAAACAGCGCATTAAGCACATCTTTTGTCCTTCCTCCCTGCTGCTGTCAGGCTGTACAATGAGAATGTGTAACAAGAACTGCTGAGTCTGTACAAGTGTCACTGATAATTCACTAAAGTAACTTTGTCACTAGTGTACTTACTGTATTATTACATATCCATCTGATTTTTCTGCCATTCACAAGTCACTTTACCTGTTGATATTATTTCTGATATTTATTCTGTTCATATACATATTCTCATATTCTCCGCTGCAAATGTACAATAGACATCTGTAAATACTTTTGAACCAAGTGCAATTATAGCCCCAGAGTTTATTTTATTTTATTTTATTCTTATCTTAAATAATACATATTTGATGTGTGCAATCTGAGTGCTCTTATTTCCTTTCTCTGCTGTAATGTGCACAACGATGACACTGAAATTTCTCCACTGTGAGACTAATAAAGGTTCATCTTATCTTCATTAAATCATGTTGTGTTTAGTTCAAACAGTTGAATGTCTGCTTTGTTTTGCTCCATCAGCTGTTGGTTAAGTGTTACATTACTACATGAAAAGTGTGGCCTATATGTGGACAAAATTCACCTTCTTATAAAATGTATCTGATACAATTTACACACCGGTGCACTTAGTAATAGCTATAGTAGTAAATGCAGTTGTACTGTGAATTTCTTTTTTGTAATTCACAAGCACAAGTGTCAAATAAGGAAGTTTATCATTTGCTAAGTGCTTGTCCAAACTGTCTCCTTCTTCCAGGCTCTTACGGGAACTGCTGCCTGAAATATGTGCGCAAGATGAAGTCAAATGTGAGGAGAAGTGTTGTGGATTACAGGATGCAGGAAACAGATGGCGATTGCAACATGAGAGCAGTGCTGTGAGTTGGGAGCATTTGAAAACACTTCTTTGGCAAACATGATTTCTATTGTTATTAAATTCTGCAGGCTTTTGATGAAGAGAAAGGGAGGAAAAATCAGGCCGGTCTGTGCCAATCCCTACGATAAGTGGGTGCAGGATGTGATGACAGCGGTGGAGAAAAGGAACCAGATTATAAACTAAGTGAAAAGTTGTGATATTAAGTAAGTTAGTAAGTAATCTTTATTTATATTATATTGTTCAGAACTTGGGGGGTCATGAATTGTGTTTTTGCAGGTCACGGAAGCCACTGTCAGAGAGCATATATCACACGTCTCCAACATGTGGACTGGATTATTGCCGTCCAGATTTGGAATTTCCATCCGCTGCCACAGAATGTAAATCAGTGTTACTCCCATGTTGTTATTTTTAGTATCTCCAACTATATGAGCCATATAAATATGTTGAGCCACAGTTTGGGCAGCTTTGAAATGTCACTTTTTGTATGTCTAAGAGTTTAAAAAGATATATTTTTGTATTCAAATGATTCAAAAGCAGTTCAAGAAAATGTAGTCTTTTTATAGATCACAGATTATATGATGTCGGCTTGATTTCAATCAGGCCTATCTTTTTTCTTCTACACACTTCATAGGCTGCTGGAAATGTAGAACTGTGTGCACTGATGTAACTTGCATTGTATTTTCTCTTTTAAAATGAATTAAATAAAAATAAGAATGATATTATGGGGAATATTTGATTAGCAAATCTACAACAGTTTGTGGTACTTGTGGATAAGGTTCTTTCTCCTCTCTAATGGTAAAGCTGCACATTCTTACTGACTAAAACTTCCTGGGCTGCTACATTTGCACATTCCAGATTAAAACTAGAAAACACATTTAATAAAAAACATAGTTAATTGTTTAGGATTGAGCTCCTTACAATAGGATTTAGCTCCACTTGTTAATAACACAGAACAGGACCTATGTGACTTGGGTGGCATCACTGATTGCCACCCCCCCCAACCCAGAAATGGATCAAGGGGTAGAAAATGGATGGATAGACGGAACAGGACCTTTCACATCAAGTCAAAAATGAATGTCACGTTTGTTTTAAGACAGCGGTTCGCGAGTTGCAACATTTCTCTGCATGTTTTATAATCTGATCTCCACATGTCTGCCTCTCTGTGCCAAGTGCCATTATGAACACAATGTAACCCGCGGCTCTTTTGTGCTGCCGTCTCTGGGGCACAGCCAAGGTTAGAGGAACTTGTTTATATAACATTTTGGAAACAAGAGCCTGGAATGTGCTTCAGCATGGATGAAATAGTAGCTTGAGTTTAACCTGGTATCCTGAGACAAAATTTATCCCCAGCTTAGTGGTTGCATGAAATTGCAGTGGTGCTTGAGGTGAAAAAGCATGCCAAAAAACAGCTGCAAAGTAGTAACGGTTTGAGAACATGTTTGACTCAGGGTCACGTAAAACACGGGGGAGACATTTTGTGTTGTCGGATTTAACAAAAAAGTGAGTTTGGATTTTAACCCTTTAATGGGTTCCTCAGTCTTTTTGTGAATCACTTTTTGAGTTACTATATCTACTTGAAGCCAGTGTGGAACTGAAATCTACCTCATTGGGGCATCTCCATCACTCTAGCACATTTACCATCAAACTCCATGGTAAAAACATTTGGTAGAGGCCTATAGTTCAAAAGCTAGGGTTTAAAAAATAAAAATAAAAAGTGGTGTTGGTGTTCCTACATCTTAGAAAATAAATAAATAAATACAACAATAAAAAGATGAAATAGAAAAGGGTTAAAGTTACACCTTGACCAGTAATGCTCTTCTACTGTATGTTGCAGTAACACAGCACTGCACCAGATTATGTTTAATTTGAGTAAAAATAATGTAAAACTACTGTCTTTGACACTTTTGGCTTTACCTACAATACTGAGCAAACAAACCATATGTCTCTCATCATCATCATCTTCATTGAGCAACAACGATTTTCAGCCAGACGCCTTGGCCATAATCCGAATATTGATAGTATTGTGCCACCCACTGAGAGCTTTGTGTCGGCCCTAGCATCCCCTTATCTTGAAAATGTTCTCGCTTTTTTGGAGCATTTCGAAAGATATGCGAAGATCACGGAACGTTCTGTGAGAAATCTTGAATCTTTATTTACAATGTGTAAACATGCAGGCCAGAAGTAAAGACAAGCCAAGTGCAAGCAAACAAAATCTTTATTAAAGAAGACATATATGCATTATTTTTGTCCCTTAAACATGGAAAGCTGTCAATTTACTTTATGTGAAACCATTTCTGAAGTAAACATATGGATAAACTTAATATAATGAAAGAAATCATCTCAGCATGTAAACAGCCAGAGGGATGTGTTGAATTTATTAGAAATATTATTTTCAACATCATAGATCATGTGCTGCAGAAACAACCTTACTATTGTAAAAAATTCAAAGGGGAAATTGCCACAACCTTTTGGAAAAAAAAGTTTCTGAACCTGAGATAGCCAAACAGTGTAAGGGTTCTTCATAGTTTCCTAAGAGCAACTAAAATCCACGTCTGTTTTAGATAAGAAACATTTTTGTAATTTACTTAAAAACTTAAACACAGCATAATATGTCTCTTTAAAGGCATTTAACACATTACAGACAACCAAAAGGCTCACAAACCTTAGTTCACAAAAGCATAGACCAACTTTTTATGTGATTGAGTTTTTTTGTTATTTGCCTTATCCTAATGGGGATTAGACATGGCCTTGGATCCAATCCTTCAGAAGATGAGGTGCATGGCCGAACAGTGAGTGATGGATGAAGTGTGTCATTCCATTGTGCGAGGCTAATACAGCGTCTCTTTGAGAGGGCGGTATCTGTTGGGACAGGTTAGAGCTATGAGCATGGTATCACTCTTACTGTGTGCTAGTGTGATAGCCAATAATATGTATGTATGTGTGTATGTGTGTCATAAAATCACACACACGGCTGATGGGTCGTGCTTATCTAAAGACTTGTACTCATCGGGGTGCAGTGTTGTGTACCCCACGGCCTCCACGGTCCTCCTCTTCTGCACCCGATGCAACAAGATGCGGTACAACCCGGTCAAGGGGCTCCTGGAGTCTGAGCAGGGGTTATTCTGAAAGTGGACTGTCCCAATCCCCAAATCGGACAACAAATGCTTGACCTCTTGCTCTTCTTCACACAGGGCAGCGTTAGGCTGACCAAAGTGGACGGGACTGAGGGGCAACTTGGAGAACGGAGGAGGGCAATGTATTTCACAGAGCCAAGGACTGGTCAGCATCTCTGCAACAGGAGTTCTGTCACTGGGCACTGGTCGAAGCATTCCTTTAATAATTATCTGGCAACCATCCGAGACATACTCTGGGATGGTGTACGCCCCCTGGAGGATGCAGCGCTTGAGTCGGCTCATAGAGTCTCCGTAGAAGGGCACTTTGGCAGTCACCATGAAGTACAGCAGGATGCCCAGGGCCCAGATGTCTGAGTTTCGGCCGGAGAAGCCTTTGTCTCGGAACAGCTCCGGGGCGGCGTATGGAGGAGAGCCACAGAAGGTGTGCAGCAGCTCATGAGGGACACTCTCAGTGCTGAAGCCCAAGTCTCCCACTTTCACACATCGACTGGTGGTGTAGAAGATGTTCTCAGGCTTCAGATCTCTGTGGACAATGTTGTTCTCATGCTGGGGAGAAAACACATTATATGTATTCCATTTCAGTATCCTTTTTTGTGCTTCTGAGTTAGTTTCAATCAATAAAGTATCTATCTATCTAACTACCACCCAACAGACCAAACAGGTGGTGGTTTACAATTGTTTTACAACTGTAGTGGGCATTTGTCTTTCACTCCACACAGCAATGGGAACGAGGTCGCCAGACAGGAGGCGCATGCCAGACATGTTTTTAGTGGTAGAGGATATCGGAGCACCCGGAGGAAACCTACGCAGATGATCTTCCTCAATCTGAGGCTCCACGCAAGAGCTGGGACCAAAGTAACAGAGGCTACCATCAATAACACACTACGCCAGGGACTCAAATCCTGCAGTGCCAGACGTCTCCCCTGCTTAAGCCTGTAAATTTCCAGGCCCATCTGAAGTTTGCTAGAGAGCATTTGGATGAACCAGAAGAGGATTCGAAGAATGTCACATGGACAGATGAAACCAAAATAGAACTTTTTGGTAAAAACTCAACTCGACGTGTTTGGAGGAGAAAGAATGCTGAGTTACATCCAAAGAACACCATACCTACTGTGAAGCATGGGGGTGGAAACATCATGTTGGTTTTTCAGCAAAGGGATTAAGACGACTGATCCGTTTACAGAAAAGAATGATTAAGGCCATTTATTGTGAGATTTTGAATGAAAACCTCCTTCCATCAGCTAGGGCATTGAAGATGAAACGTGGATGGGTCTCTCAGCATGACAATGATCCCAAACTATAGACTGTAAATTAGCGGACGTAGTCACGCCTATCTCTGCTGTTGAAACTAATGTGCCATCACTTTTGGCTTCTCACTCTGTCTCTGGCTAAATACTTTTTTTCCCCACTTTATCTTTCTAACAGGCTACACACATAAACATCCACATGTTTAACTCTGCAAACTTATACATCCATGGTTTAACTGTGCATGTGCGGTTAGTGGTACAAGGGGGCATGTGGTTTGATGCTGCATAGTTGATACAGTGACAGTGAGATAGTACTCCAATGATTGGCATACTCAATAAATTCTTGGTCCAGTTAAATTGAACCAAACCAACAAGTGTGAATGCAGCCTTGTAAAAGGTACAAAAGGGGATGACTTATAATAGATTACACAATAAAAGCTCTCAAACCAAGTGGCAATGAAGTAGCATAACTTAATGGTATCAATACATTCTTCAAATAATGTTTTTTTAAAATAGTTTTCAGGAAACACAAAATTCCCTTTATATGGTGGCCAGCATCATATGGTGTGTAAATGCCATAGACTGTATATAGTAAATGCCTGAAACCGACCTGCTCTTTGTCTGTTGTACATGAGTAAATGTGTTGGATGTGAATCCAGTGATGAGTGCACATGCTGCAGTTTTACATGAGGATCCTGTGCTCTCACCATGTGCTTGACCGCAGACAGCACTTGTGCAAAGATCACTTTGCTCTCGAGGTCGTTGAGTCGCCCTCTGCTGGAGACTCTGGAGAACAGGTCTCCTCCACTGCCGTACTCCATCACCAGGTAGAGCTTCCTGCTGTTCTCCAGCACCTCGTACAGACGCACGATGTTGGGGTGGCACAGCTTCTCCATGCAGTTGATCTCCGTGGACGCATCGGGCTGTTTCTTCTTGTCCAGACGAGTCTTGTCCATTATCTTTACGGCTACTCTCTCTGAATTTGAACAAAACAAATGGTCCATTTGTAGTATTTTTTAAATGAAGATAATTGAAACAAATATAGATTCATATCTACAGCATCACTTGTATTGAAAAAAAAGCTTCTGTTTCTATAAAAAAACATTCTATTTTTACGACAAATCATGTGGACCTGATCTGAACCATGACGCCATCACATATAAAGATAGTGTGTAAAGATATATATATGTGGTAGAGGACCTGAGCTTAGGGAGGGATAACCGCCCATGGAGGGTTATTGTCACATCCATCCATCCATCCATTTTCTTCCCCTTAATCCATTTCTGGGTTGGGGGGGTGGCAGTCTGAGCTGCACCCAGTACACATAGCACCAGCCCCTCACTGATCCTCCTGCAGGTGGTGAGTCCACAGGAGCAGGTTATTGTCGCAATTTATGTAAAATAAAAATTATACGTATCATTTTATTTCAAAAACAAAGTAACCATCACAGTTGTGGTCAAAGTAAACAGATTGTTGATCTGTTCCCTTTTTGTAATAATAATTTAGTAATAAACACAAATGTTTTCTCTCTTTCTTGTGTTCAATCATATACGTTAGCCTATGTTCTGCAGTGTAAATGCACATCCTGACCTTTAGTGAGGGCATGGATTCCCAGTCGGACATTGGAGAAGTTTCCCTGTCCGATCTCCCCTCTGAGCTCATAGAATCCAATGCGTCGTCCCAACATGGTTTCATTGGCCATCTTCTCATTGTGGGCCAGGTCATGCACCACCCTCTCAAACGGAGACTGCCTCATCCTGTCCACCCTGGTGCCGGTCACGCACACAGGGGTTGTCTTGGCGCTCCTATCCCCCCTGGCCGCCTCCTCCTGGGGCTTCTTTGTGGCTTTCTTGGACCATGGTCGATGTGAGATGGCTGGAAGGAGAAGCTAGTTAAGTGGTCTGCTCTGTATGAAGAGGGGCTTTAGGGTAATGGAGACTAAGTGGATTGACCTCCTCTTGCACTATATGTGGCCCACTCACCCTTTAGACTGTTGGGTAATGTCTCAGGCCAACACATGGATATACATACTTTAGTCCAGATGTTGTGTTTGGAGGTGCATTTTAGTTAAAATATGGTCAAACCGCTCATTAACCAGCACAGCAGTGGTACATGTTTGACAGTTTATATATATTTTCAACATTATAAAGTTATGTCAAGTTTTCTTATATTACACTACATTGTCTTTTATGTATTGTTGAGGAGAGTAAGCCTCTTAGACCAACGCTCTTCTCTTAGTGTATCATTCATAATGTCTGATTTAAATTATTGTGTTATGCATTAGCTTCATCCTGTCCCTTTTCTAACTGTATTTTTTTAAAATAATTTTTCTGTATCTTGTTTGTTTTGCCTCCATCCAGCTTATGTTCAAATTGGCTTCTTCTGTATTCGGCCAACACTGGTGACACCAGCACTCGGTCAGTCCATTCCGAACATGTGGTCTGTGCTGATCAGAAGTCATTGTGAAAGCTACACTTTAAGCTTGTGAATAAATTAGTGTACATTTTTAGCATTTAACCATCTTTTGTCAATTGTGAAAATGATTGCATAACAAGTCATGTACACAACACGTTTTGTGAAAGTAAAGGATTTATCTTAAAGGATATTTGCTGAAAGTAAAGATTACTTTTGTTGTGTTTGAGTGGGGGTGGAAGTGGGAGTGCAGGGAAGGGAGGGATTTTGTTGGGTGAAATATTATAGATTTTACAATAATTCCCTTTTATTGCCTTTTTACTGTAAGTACCAGGAAGTCAAAGGAATTTGCTTTGGCTCAGTCATCCAGTTATTTTGTTTATTTTTATTTTTTTTACAAGATTTGATTATAATCACATATTATTGTACTTTGTTTCACCAATTACAATATTTTTATTGTAATTTTAACAGTGTTTTTTCTGTTATTTTAGCAATCTTTTTTTTTACAGTTTATGAATATGTTGCATAATAAAATTATTGTATTATTTACAATACAAAAATACATTACTGAATACAAAAATAAAACAAGAAGGAAAAATAAAAAATAAGGTAACGTTTTGGATGAGGGATAATTGAGAGTGAAAATAGACCTGGCTGAGGCTCAGTTCTCAAAGTGGTGAGGATTATCTCCCTTTAGAGACAGGGTCACTGTGGGATCCAAGGCTATTTACAGCATACAGTGACCGACCCACAGACATAACACACAGAATCATTTAATTATCTTATGTCAGTAAAAATAAAATAATAAAAAATGATAATACATGACTGATGTGCCGTTTCGGCCAGAAAAAACGTCCCTTGTTATTTACATTATAGAAAATATTGTGATATGTTCCTGTCTCAAGTAACTCAGTTCAACGTATTAAATACATTAAATTGGGAATATGTTAATTAAATTACAAGTTACAAATGAAGGAGGTACGGAGCAAAAGTGAACACCGCAATCACATTTCAAGATGGAATGACTCCCACTATTTACAATTATTTTGAGAACAAGGACATTGTACTGTAGATAATACAACTTTGAGTACATCCAACTTGAAACAGCCCTCATAGACCAATGCATATTTATGTTGTTAATATGAAACAATCAGTCATGTACAGTCTTATCCCATATAGAAATAGTCCCCTTCAAACCACAGAGAAGTTCATCATTAAATCAAAATCAGTAAAGAAAAAAGAAGGTTTTTCAATAAATGAAATGACCTGATCCTTAAGGAGTGAAGAGGAGGGTCTTACCTGGCAGATGTGGGTCCTTCATGTGGTCAGTGGGTCTGTGTCCAGGCCTCAGACTCATGTGAGCTCTCAATCTGATTAACACTGAGAGCTGAGACGCGACGTTAGAGGGACAAGAAGATAAGAGAGGATAGCTAACCCTAACCCTAAACCAAAATGCAATTAGGAATTAATTGAAAAACTGACTGCACACGATATGAAAGCTCAACAACCATGCGTTTCAAATAATATGTTATTATTTATTATTATTTATCTTATATGAAAATGACTTTGTGCATTATTTGTATTTTGTTTTAGCTTAAATATAACTAAAAATGACCCCTTTAGTAATTGTTTAGGTTTGATGTTTCCATGGAGATTGTTACGTTTTTATGCAAATTCCTAGCAGAAACTAAAACACATTTTGATGGAGAATGATGTTTCAGACTCTTACACTGAGTTTTATCTATATCAATGATTCTATTAGTTCTGTGATCATTAGTAATAAAATGCTTTGCACACGCTTCAAAAACATTATCTGCGTTTAGGAATTCTACTGGAGAGATCATGGATTGTTGTAATTAACACGACTAAATGATCAAATAGCATATTACTTGATAAATAATAATATAAATTGAGGCGAATCTACTTGTCTTTTGGATTTTCTTTCATCAGAATTATTAAAAAAACAAATATTCACCCCAACTAATCTGTACCAATGTTATCGAGAAAATTTACTTTTAGATTTTGTATTAAATTATGTTATTTATTTGGAACCTGTGCAACACATATTTTTACATATATGTAACAGACACATGACAAGTACATTTTTTAGGAATGTGCATCATCATAAAGGATGTATAAGAAATCAAGAATCCATTTTTTATAGAATTATGGATCTTCTCTCTTCACATTAAACAACAGCACATAGAGTTCCATGTTATTATTTATTTGTACTTAAAAATGAATAAATACATACATTAATCACTTATAATGAATTATTTTAACCCTCCACCAAACCTTCTTCATCACTTTCTCCCACCTTTCTTACCCTCTATCTACAAGTTATCAATACCTGGTTCTCCTCCAAGTCCTCCTTACGCACACCATCCACTCTCTCCAAATCTAACAGTTTTTAATATATATCAGCGACTCCATTCTCCTTCCCTACGGACAAGTTACAAGTCACCCAGACTTGTAACTTGTCATCCTCGACACAAAACTTTCTTTCCACGCTCACATTAACAACATCACCCGCTCTCCTACTTTCACCTCCGTATTATTGCATAGTTTCAATATTTTCAAAAATGATGAGAATTAAGCAGCTACTAACATTTATGAACATTAGTCATCTGCCCCTTATGGACCAACGGCTGTAGGTGTTTTTTTAATCTTTGCATTCTCTGATCTGTCTCGGCGAATCAACAACTTTGAGAAGTCCTCTGAGATAACTACTTTTGTGCTTGAGGGCCGTAAAAAAATAAATGTAATTGAATTGAATAGACAAAACTGAAACTCAGCAGCCTTTACTAACAATGCAAAGTCATTCTCATCAATGTGTATTACAGTCAATGTGTATTAAGTAGAAAATCAAACATGGCAAAGCAAAAAAGTCTAATCTTCAATGAGGTGATATTAGATCATTTCCAAAGGCGCACCAAATAAGATCTCAACGCACACTAACATGCCACAGCACACTGGTTGTAAAACACAGCGTTGTAGAATGATAAACATATGACATGATATGGACTAAGTAAAATATAATTAATATGTCAAATTAGTTGTTTAATCTAAGCTCACAAAATCAGCTTGCAAGAGTTCCAGATAAAAATTGTCCAGTTTAAACATGGCCGGGCAGCTGACTGTTGTTACGATAGATTATGAGGGGAATGATACCTCTCGTGGTTTCACAGATCCTGTGCGGCTCATCCAATCAGCTGTCGAAAACATTTGGCGGGAGAGAAGAGGGCGGGCTTTAACGGTGCGTGGCCAATCAGCGTGTTCATATCACCAAACCCGGAAGCTTCTCATGGCGCGTTGTGTCGCTGTTGCTAATGTGGACATGTACGTAAACAAACACTTATTTTGGATTCTTTCTGAAGTGTTTATTTGCTGAACAGACCCGGTGCACGATGGCAGCCACGTTGTCTCCGCCCGTGGTCCCCGCAGAGCTCGAGGCAGACCGGTGTGTGGCAGAAGGGGAGATCCGTTCAGAGGCGGAGGACAGTCCGCCTCAGCCCGGGCCCGTGACCCACAACCGCCTCTCCAAACTGCCCCTGGCCCGCATCAAAGCGCTCATGAAAACCGACCCAGACGTGTCACTCGCCAGCCAGGAGTCTGTCTTCATCATCGCGAAGGCCACGGTAAAAAATAAAAACCACGTGATGTATGGTTGTCAAAAGTATAACAATAGTTGAGATTTCCTGAACAATATTATAAAGATTTTGATCTATGCCAGACTTAAAGTACTTCACGACCTTGTGGTACTCTTATAAAGTAGAATTTTTTTCCTTTTGCATAATTAATTGGAAAAACTTTATGATCTCTGCATAATCGACATAAGTATCAAATCAAGCTTGTAATGTTAGTATCGTGATGGGGGATTACGATCCTTTCTACTTGAATGTTTATGGTAAGTACTGTAGCGTACATGTGAGGAGAAAGGAACTGGGAAACTGCAGCTATTGCTTTATTATTGAGTTGCACTACTCCACCACTAGGGGTCTCCATCCTCCGCCGTGAACCTAAACTAAAATCAGATTTCACAGAAAACCGCAAGTTTATCCTTTCTGTTTAGTAAAGGCCAGTTATTTGTAATTTTTCAGAACAGTTTACATGTTTTGTTCTGATTTCCTGGCAGTTTCTAAATGATCTGTTTCCCCACTTTCATCCAGGAGTTGTTTGTTGAGATGATTGCCAAAGATGCCATGGTCTATGCCCAGCAAGGAAAGCGCAAAACTTTGCAAAGAAAAGACTTGGGTGAGTTTGTGTATACAGGTTGATTCCCCTGCAGTATTTCCAACCACTGCTATTTTCTTTTTAGATAATGCAATCGAGGCTATAGATGAGTTTGCATTTCTTGAAGGTAAGTTGTGCCTTTGTATTGTGCAAAGATGTTGTTGATTTCTTATTAATTCATGTAATCTTTTGCAGGCACGTTGGACTGAATTTTTAATGGTTTTCCCCATATTTTTTATGAACTCCAGTCAAACTGTAAAACCATAAAAAAATAACATTACGAGTAAATTGTACATGTTTGTAAATATTTGTTTGATACTGAAATCTTGTACAATTGAAATAAAATCAAGAGATTTTTATCTATTTGTTGATTTCATGGTTTAAAGTTAAGTAAATACCGCTGTCCAAGGTCCTGATTCTGCATCTCCAGGGGGCAGGAGCTTCCCTGAGTAATCACAAGTGGCAAATAAAGTTGTTATTAAATTATTGCAAACCGTTTTTATAGGCAATAAAATAGGTTTATTTATATAACTCCTCTGATAGATTCCACTTTTTGTTGTATCAATCCTACACTTTGTAGCCAGGCAATAGAAACAAGGCTGCACTCAATATACATGTGACACTTGGAAAATGGTAGCTGTTGTACAATATTCTAATGCAAAACTAATTTATGACGGACTCAGAACATGCATCGTGAGATGTATAAGGCCTTTTAGTTTTAATATTGAGATTTGACTCATGGCTGTTAAATTCCCAAATGAAAAATGTCAAAAAATTAGAATATTATGAAAATTGACTGTACGCCCAGGAGGCCCCGGGGAAGTCCCAGGACACGCTGGAGGGACTATGTCTCTCAGCTGGCCTGGGAGCGCCTTGGGTCCCCCCGGACGAGCTGGAGGAGGTGTGTGTGGATAGGGAAGTCTGGGCGTCTGCTTAGACCGCTGCCCCCGCGACCCGGCAACGGATGAAGCGGAAGAAAATGGATGATGGACTGTCATAATCATCTAATTTATAACAAAGGCTGGCTTCAAGCTGAATTACAGAAATGAATGCACTTTGAATTTCTGAGTTCCACCTGTTAAATCTCCATAACATTTTATATTGCGTAGATTGAAGAGGTGCGGACGACTCTCCTCATGAGCTGATTGCTGACATTTTTGCAAGTCCAATACTCTTTTGAATCGGGAAACAAACAGTTCCAGGAACAAAAAACAAGGGCAAAGCTTTATCTTGTATCAAAATGTTAACACAATTCTCAAATGGGTTTCCCCTGATCAAAGAGACGTGATCGAAAATGCAGATAAATGTGTCTTCAGATATGATCAGAGCTTTAGTGTGTGTGTTGTGCTCCCGTACAGACCATGGTGTCTCATCACTTTAAGTATTTGATTTCTCACAACTTGAGCTTTTGCTGTGTGGATTTATAAATAAATGTTTGAGTTTGGTCTGATTTTCTGGGTGTAGTGTTTCAGGGCTTAATGAAACAGAACGGTGAGAAACACAGATGTCTGGGTGCAGAACAGCGCCAGTCAACTCCCTGCTGAGGAATGCCCCATTGGCACAAGGAACAAGCAGTCTTCAAAACTAATACAATCTAAGAACGTGCCAGACAAGTGAAGTGGGCATGTTTTATTTCCAGAGTCAATGAAGGCATGCGCCGTTAGGAAATCCCATGCAGAGAAGAATCTTCCCGATGCAGTAAATCTGGGAGTGGTTGGCTTAGATCTTATTTTCATTCCTAATTGACATAAGACAATCCATTACAATTAAACACAATTCTGATTTTTTTTAGCAGTAGCACACTACCGATTTAATTCACTATATTCTTCAATAATGATCTAAAATGCCTTCATTAAAGATACAGGTTCGTTGGGCGACAGTAGTTCAGTTGGTAGAGCATTGGCCTTTGAGCCAGAAGGTCGTGGGTTCGAGCCCACCTCAAGACTTTCACCATCGACTCCCAGTGTCTGCTGTCGTTGTGTCCTTGGCAAGACACTTAACCTGTGGAAACACCAACCACAGTGGGGCGGCTGCGGCTGTAAAGTGCCAAACTGCCGTTGTGTCCTTAGGCAAGACACTTCACCCCCATTGCCAAGAATGAGTCTGGTGTGTGAGTGAATGGTTGGTGGTGGTCGGAGGGGCCGATGGCACAGACTGGTTGCCTCACTTCTGTCAGTGTGCCCCAGGGCAGCTGTGGCTACAGTAATATGTGAAGAGTCTTTGAGTGTCCAAAAATAGCACCATAAAAAACGAATGCATTGTCACTTATTTATTTTAAAATAACAACAAACTTAAATTTCTCAGCTTTAGTCACTTTCTAGGTGCCGTACTATGATGCTGGTTCATAAGTAGGATTTATACAGGTTCAAAGGGCAGAAAATACTATTTTACATGATATGCCCCTTCTTGGTTAAGACAAATAGAATACAGAGATTTAAATAAAATACAGAGATTTCAAATATGAACATATTATCATGGATGTTTACATGATTTAGTAATTATATATGTTATTAGTTGTGTTTTTCTCCAATGGGCTTGTGTGAGCCCTCTTGCCCTCTCCCCATCCATGTCCCATTATTTGCACATGTCTATGTAGTGTAGCTGACATTTTTGATCAAAGATCTGTTAATGAGAATGCATACTTGGACATTAAAGACTTAATCACACAGAATATTCAAAAAATGCATCTGACTGGAACGGACGGTAGTCATGGGGAAGGTATGTTTTTGCAGCTGAGATTCCAACCTGATTCTTGGGTCAAATTCTTGAACAGAAACTCCGCCCCCCACACACAGACATACATGTGGTGTTTCCATGTGTCTTCAAGGCATTACAATGTCCGGAGTTTACATTGTAATGAGATGGATGCTTATCTGGAATGCCCTGTGTGCGTTGTAGTGTTTCATCCACTACCATGATTCTCCCATAACTTCAGGTCATTTAAGTGAGGATGCATGTGCAACAGTTATGTGGCAGGGAAAGAGTGGTATTGCAAATAACAGAGGTTTGATCAGGTCCTTGAGGTTTTCCAAACAAAAGGTGTTCAATATGTCTAAAAGCTTTGTGCTCAACTTTCCCAATCACAGGCATTTCCACGTATTGTCCAGTTGATTTTGGGAGTGTATACAGAAATTAATGTTGCTTCTATTTTGCATTCTGCGCTGTAAAAGGGGACAGAAGTAGATTTGAAAACCTTTTACTGTCATAAAACAAGATGTGTCAATGGGACAAGCTAAAATATTTGAAATGCAACAGCACATAAAATGAATATAACCTGCTTACCCCTTTGGCAAATCTTGTTTTAAGACGGTCTAAATCTACTCAAATTAAGATAAAAAACAAACAATTTATTTATTTATTATCTTTTATTTAATCATGATTCTGCAGTGTGGTGTTGCAGCAGATAAAAAGCAGGATTATGAACCACACAAAGCCTAGAATTTCAAGTGCAAACTGCAAAAAGATGAAAATATGTGAGAAGTGAGATGTGTGAGAAGAATGAGCAAGATAATGAGGGAGGGAGTTAAGTTGAGATCCAGTGAAATGGATCAACAAAGGGAGGGGAGGGTGTGACGGTGAGAGCACAGTGAGATGGGCAGGGAAGTATAAAGAGGCGGCCATAGAGGAGGTGACACACAGCTCGCTCCTCGCTGCCAGACTTCACCATGCTTGCTCTGCAGATGTGGACTCTCCTCGCTCTGGCGCTCCTCCTCCTCACATCTGTGCAAGGTACGACTCTGCTCCTCTTTATGTGCGCACGCTCTGCAGGTGAGCTCTGCTGCCGTGCAAAGACAGTCAGGGCTAGCAGCAGGGAGGAGGGCATGGATGTAAACACTCTCTGCTTGATGACTTTACAGATGATGTGCATGTGAAGTGCACGGAGCTGCACTGTCTCTCCTATGCATGCATTGTTCTGCACCACACTTTAAAGTCTTTCTACAAACGCTCTGATAACATGCCAACATGGCACACCCACTCCTCACTCTTCTCCTTCTCTCACTTTCTCTGGCATGGCACTGAGCACTGGGACAACTGGGATACAAGTATTCTTTCACATATTTGTCTAAATGATTTAAAAAGGAATGCAATTTTGGAGAAAAGACCAAGGTCATGCATTATGTGCCAACAGAGCCTCACATTCCACCAAATCATATAATTGTCTTCATTTACAGTTGTCTTAATCATTATTTTTACTACAAAGCAAGTTGTGGAAGAGAGTTATAGGGTCAGAGAGTGTTTGGGCCTGTGTATGCCTGAGTGTGTGTATTGTCTTGTTCCATATTGTACTGTATCACATTTTGATATTGTATCGTGCCACTGTTCTACTGCTTTGCTTTAGTATTATTCTGTCAGGGTTTTTTTGGAAGTTTATAAGCGTGTTGTTCATGTTTTGAAGTAAACATTTTTGATCGATTGTTTATTCCACCGCTGTCCCTCAGTTCTTACTGCTTTGTAGTTGTTGGTCAGGTGGTCCCAGAAGTGGCCAATATTTCTGCTTCAATCCAAGCTTGAGTCACTGTGCAAAAGTGATTGTTTTCATTCAGCCACAAACATTTACAATAGACGCAAAAAACAACCAAAAATACAAAGGAAAACTGTTGATACTGTGAATTTTACAAAACTAGCAGATAATAAAAGCGATAAAGTGCAGGCCCAGTGTAGAAGCGTCAAGTGTAAAAAACAGAAGTCAATCCCTGCTGCTGATTGCATGTGACAACCCGCTCTGATCTCAGGCGCACAGAGCCATTATGACAGTGGTCCCCAACCTTTGCTGCCCTCTGTGGACCAAAAGTAAAGAGGACTTGTGAATGCCCTCCTTACATGACCAAATGTTATTCTGAACTGTGCTCTGGGTTCTAGGTGTCAAGGTCAAGGATTCTTTTTGTTATTTGGTACTTGTTTTTATTTTGACATAACTTCTCTTGTGCTTTTGTTCAGTTTTATTTCCTGTTCCCCTGTGTTGATTCTGCCCCGCCCAAATGTTTTTCACCTGTATCTCTTTGTATTTATATAAACCTTGTGCTCTTTCCTAGTTGTTGCTGGTCCATTGTCTATATGACTGTCCATTTTCCTGGTTCCTGTGGCCTGTTTGTATTTTTTTGTTTTTACCTTGGACCTTTTTTCATGAATTTGAATTCCGGTATTTTGGGTCCTTCTTTCATTTCACCAGGTGACACTAGGTTTAGAATTTAATAAATGACATGGTTGTTATCTTCAGAAAGAATACTTTAAAATGATGTATAACATGCCAAAGTAGCCCAAATACACCTCCATCAGTGTTTGCCTTATGAGTCCCTACTACCCTCGCAGAAACACTGAGCTATGACTCAAGCAAATGAATGCTTTCCAGGTAACGGGGTGCAGATGCAGAGGGACGTGCAGTGCTGCATGCTCTACTCCCAGGGCAAGGTGCGGACCAAAGACGTGCTGCGGTTCGAGGTGCAGACGGAGGGGCCAGACTGCAGCATACAAGCCATCATGCAAGTATTCCAAGTATCCACTCCTGGAGCTTCTGAGCTATACGGCCATCTGCAGGCATGGAAACTATGCCTCTCTCGTTACATGAGGCAGAGTCATGGCCGACACGCATTGTCATCTTTCCAGGTCATGTTGTTATGGCGGGGCTCCAAGCTGTAATTTGCCAGGGAAGTAAGAAAGCAAATATGTGGGAATAACAAGTCATCTGAAAGTACCTTATGAGCCAGCTGAGCCCCGCCATGCACAGCTCTGTCAGGCTGAACAGCAGGGTTTAGTTAAGCAAACCATCGTGCACTCACATACCTATTGTTTTCAACAGCCCAGGGAAATCTAATGTAGCAGGGGAATGCAAGCGTTTTATAAGGTCAAGTTAACAACATCAAATAGTTGTGGATATAGGGATTCTTTCTATTTGAACATGTTTGGCCAAGTGTTTGTTCAGGAATCGAGTGTTTGAGATATAACTTTTCTCTTGTGCTGCTGAAATCCCACCAAGCTTTTGTTTTGTTTGCAGTCTCTATACCAAGAAAGCAGTGAAATGTGCTGATCCCAGAGACCGCAAAGTGAAGAGGCTGCTCAGAAAACTGATGCTGAGACAGAGGACCAAAGCCCATCGAACCATGTGGCTCCTGCCCCATGACAACCTGCCAGTCATGACAGAGGTACATAGCAGCGCACAATGGCACAAAAAACATCAACAAGCCATGTAGACAAAGAGATGGTTATGCCACATACAGTATGAACAAGAGAAGACTTCCCATATCTTTATGAGCTCGATTTCTATTGATTACCTGTTTCCTTGTGATTGACAATTGATACTGTATCTTATGCAATCTGTAGTTTTTATAGACACCGCACAGTGTTTTGGAGATTTTCTAATGTTGCCTGCAATGATTTTCACCTATTTTTGTGCAATCTTTCTTTATTTCTGACTGGTATATGACTGGTATGTGAATGAGCAGTCATATATCAGCATTGTAATCACAGCGCCCTCACTCCAGGCTTCTAAAAAACAAAAAAAAACCATTCATCGCTCACATAGTATCACTCTCTTATAGGAAAAGAAACACAACTGGGCTGGTCTCAATGTGGAGTGAAGAAAGAACAAATAAGACCTATATAGTCACAAGTAAGTCCAAATTCCACACTCGCACGTCTCGTTATCTCCCTCACACAACCCTTTTTTCCCAGGCCAAGCAAACTGTCAGCGGCTCGTCACTTTTTACCCAGCGGGCTTTGGCTGACCCTCCAGTTGTATCGTGACAGTCTGCTCTCTCCATCTCCCTGGGATCAGACCTGGGCAGCAATAGCATATTTAACGCTACACATATTTATACATGGACTGTGCATTATTGGCTGTACCTGACTCCACGTTAGAGTAATGTAAGATGACCCATGGCGTATACTGTTATCTGCCAGACTGTTATATCTGACATTTGCTACTCTATGATTCCTTGTGATTAATGATATATATATTTTATGTCCGTAGTGTGTAAGGACACCGTACACAGTGTTTTGGAGATCTACTAATGAGCTCTCTAATGAATTGCACCTATTTTTGTACAATTTTCCTTTTATTCAGGCTGGTTTATGACTGTTCAGTAGGTGGCAATGACTGTTTATGGAGCATTGTAAGCATACAGCCCTCATCTCAGGCTTCTACTGCAGATATCACCACTACAATAGAGAAGAAACTATGCCAAAGTTGAAAAAAAAAATCAGATTCACTATATCCTGGCTTTTCAAACAAAGAGGGCTCGAAAGTGGTTGTACTGGGAAAGACTGCACTGTATGTTCCACCTATATCTGAAGTAACTCTTTTTATAAATAAATCTGAACAAGTGCCATCTCGAGCCAGTCTCGTCATTTAACTACAAGGTTTCAGTCATTGCTTTGGGTTGGAGTTACGACGAGGTTGTTGATTAATTGCAGCTAATCAATTATTATCAAGTGTACTCAACTCATTTTGTAACCATTTTATTGTTTTCTGAACCATACAAAGACTTAAAACATACTGAGAAGAGGTTTTATGGCTCAGATAATTCTATAATGATTATCTGATGATGACCCAATGTGTAACAAGTCATCTCTATGTTCTCCTGAGCTTTTTTTTGGTCAAATGTGGAAAAAAAAATCCATATTCACTGAACTTTCAGGCTAATCGAACATCAAAATATTTTTTTATTACACCGCTTTTTGTAAAATTGTTCAACCACTAGAGGTAGCCACAAACACAAGAATGCGTTTATATTCCTGAGACATTTATTCAATTAATATCAAATCTTCCATCAAAATATGCAAAAAAAAAGCACAATTATGACAAAGTATGCAAAGTTCAATGGCTAGTAATACTTGGGACTCCTAACTTGTATCTAACAGTCAACACCACTGGGGCTGGGCAATATGGCGATAAAAATCACATTCTAAGCATATTATTTAGTTTTTAGTATTCACAATTTTTCTGGATATGTGTGTTTGTTGTTACAGACACTTGAATTAACCCACTGGTAGAATCAGGTCATACTATTACAGGACTGAGAAGAGTTTTTAGACAGAAGGGGCAGAGTTACATGTTTGACTGTTTTTGCTGAACAATGGTGTGCATAATATGTCTCCTTTAAGTTTCCTCTTCAAGGCACAGCGGAGAAAACAGTTCATCGAGTATATGATCCTGATAATGTTAACATTTGGTCCACATTTTGTCCATATTGCCGACCCGTAAACACTACTTTAATTGCACATTTAGAGCCACCATATAGATAAGTTTTCACATTTTTACAAAAGAACAAAAATCACAACAGTGCAGCTAATTATAAATAACATCATCCTTTCTGGAATAAATATGTTGCAATAGCACAAAGCCAAAGCACAAAGAAATACAAAGGTAGTACAGTGCCTTGCGAAAGTACAACATTTCGCCACATTTCAGGCTTCAAACATAAAGATATAAAATTTTAATTTTTTGTCATGAATCAACAAGTGGGACACAATCGTGAAGTGGAACGAAATTTATTGGATAATTTAAACTTTTTAAACAAATACAAAACTGAAAAGTGGGGCGTGCAATATTATTCGGCCTCTTTACTTTCAGTGCAGCAAACTCACTCCAGAAGTTCAGTGAGGATCTTTGAATGATCCAATGTTGTCCTAAATGACTGATGATGATAAATAGAATGCACTTGTGTGTAATCAAGTCTCCGTATAAATGAACCTGCTCTTTGATAGTCTCAGGGTTCTGTTTAAAGCCCAGAGAGAACCATGAAGACAAAAGGAACACACCAGGCAGGTCCGAGATACTGTTGTGGAGAAGTTTAAAGCCGGATTTGGATACAAAAAGATTTCCCAAGCTTTAAACATCTCAAGGAGCACTGTACAAGCAATTATATTGAAATGGAAGGAGTATCAGACCACTGCAAATCTACCAAGACCCGGCCGTCCCTCCAAACTTTCATCTCAAACAAGGAGAAAAATGATCAGAGATGCAGCCAAGAGGCCCATGATCACTCTGGATGAACTGCAGATAACTACAGCTGAGGTGGGAGAGTCTGTCCATAGGACAACAATCAGTCGTGCACTGCACAAATCTGGCCTTTATGGAAGAGTGGCAAGAAGAAAGCCATTTCTCAAAGATATCCATAAAAGTCTCGTTTAAAGTTTGCCACAAGCCACCTGGGAGACACACCAAACATGTGGAAGAAGGTGCTCTGGTCAGATGAAACCAAAATCGAACTTTTTGGCCCCAATGCAAAACGATATGTTTGGCGTAAAAGCAACACAGCTCATCACCCTGAACACACCATCCCCACTGTCAAACATGGTGGTGGCAGCATCATGGTTTAGGCCTGCTTTTCTTCAGCAGGGACAGGGAAGATGGCTAAAATTGATGGGAAGATGGATGGAGCCAAATACAGGACCATTCTGGAAGAAAACCTGTTGGAGTCTGCAAAAGACCTGAGACTGGGACGGAGATTTATCTTCCAACAGGACAATGATCCAAAACATAAAGCCAAATCTACAATGGAATGGTTCACAAATAGACGTATCCAAGGCGTTAGAATGGCCAAGTCAAAGTCCAGACCTGAATCCAATCGAGAATCTGTGGAAAGAGCTGAAGACTGCTGTTCACAAACGCTCTCCATCCAACCTCACTGAGCTCGAGCTGTTCCACTTCACGATTGTGTCCCACTTGTTGTTGATTCTTGACAACAAATTTTATTTTTATATCTTTATGTTTGAAGCCTGAAATGTGGCGAAATGTTGAAAGGTTCAAGGGGGCCGAATACTTTCGCAAGGCACTGTAAATGAATGAATGTATGAAACGGTCATTATAGGACTTCTCTTCACAGTCATTTAGTACAGTCACAGGCAAAAACAAAGCAGGGATTACTTTCAAATCCATGATATTTACACACTGATATGTTCCACAGTGTTCTCTCTGCAGTGATCTACAGAGAGGTAGAGGTAGTCAGCACTGAAGTCAATCAGGTCTGCGATATTGTCCGGATACAAACTACACATGCTCCAAAGTTTAAAAATATGGTGTTCATACAATCATGAGTACTGTTCAAAGGGGAGTGATTTTACGTTACTCTTCACCAATGATCAAATTAAAACTGAATGTTACAACTCCAGCAACATAAAAGCTTCTACTCTAATATTTAAACACAGCATTTAGATTAGATAAGGCAGCCACGAGCACAATCTTTGACATGCGTATCATATACACTTGGGCTTGAAATTGTTTTTGGCTATATTTCTGACATTATGAATGACCACAAAAACACAGTAGATAATACAATGGAGCAAGAATGTTTTGACTTTAAAGTCAAAATATTATGAGAATAAAGTCGAAGTATGAACATTTTGAGATTAATCTATAAATAATTTTTTTTTTGTCTCAAAATATTATGAAATTAATCTAACAATATTTTGAGAATAAACGTAAGAGATAGAGATCACAGTCACAGTAGCGGAAACAATGGAGTTCCATCGCGCAAAGCAGCTAAAAACAGAGACACTTCGAGCAGAAATCACTGAAGAGATGGTTTTATCTTTCATATCCTCTGATGACCCAATGTAACAGTGTTATTCGTCACAAACAGTGTGAACGTATCGTGTCTCAGTCGCAGCTCCTTCATCTGCGGCTGGGACAGAGCACGTACCGGTTATAATCACAAATGCACGAAGCCCTTTCCCGTTCAGAGTTCATAAACCTCTTAATGTATTTACTCTTGTCATTTAACATGTTCAACTTTATAGATCATCAATCTGTCAATATCATCATCAGTATAATGAATTCCAAGGTGTGTCACAGGTTTAAATGTGTCCATTGACGGGGTGTGACCAATAAAAAGGCAAATGTACAAGAACACATACGTTTTAAATAAAAACAGACAAAAATTGAATTAAAAGCATTTGGCTAAAAACGTTGAAAGTTGGTCTAAGAAGCGCGGTGCCCGAGGCTGGGTCTGCTCTCCCGTGGTCCGTGCTGCAGTTCTCTCCCATAATCTTTTGAGATTAATCTCATAATATTTTGATTTTATTCTCATAATATTTCAACTTTAAAGTAAAAATATTCTGACTTTAATCTCATAGCGTCTGGCAAAAAAACAAAAAATGTTGACCCTTATGCTCTGTTGTAAGTTTTGTGTGAATCTATTTGTTGCCAAATAAACATGTTTTCAATGAAAATGATGACAGAAGCTAACCACATGACTCTGATTAGAAGTCTCCATCCCCCAGTTTTCAATAGAGCCTTTAACTGTGACAGTTTACAGTCTTTAGTGATGCCCATTCTTCTTTGCAAAAAGCCTGCAGTTCCTATACATTCCTGGGCCCCCATTCAAGAACTGCACATTCGAGCTCACCACAGATAAATACGCTCAATGATGTTACAATTTAATAGAAAACATTCATGATCTCCAACATATGGCCAAAACAATGAAACCGATGGCCGGGTAAACTTTCAAGCACAACTCATTGTAGTACGGAACACTAACTGGTAGTTTTAGAAATCCTTCACAAGTAATATATGAATACAATCAATACTATCGATTCTCCAAACATTCAAGGCTTTAAAACAGTGCTAACTTGAAAGTGTTTATTGAGCTTGCACCGGTACTTCTCCGTCTGACCGTGGCCGAGCTCGTGTGGGGTGCAGACCTTACATGGGCGTCTCAGTGTTGTGGTGGTTGCCTGTCTCACTGTCCTGGCAGATGAGCTGGTACGGCTTCTCGTTCACTTCAATCACAGAGTTGTGCATGTCTGGGTCGTGATGCTGAAGCTCGTCTCGGGACAGGTGCTCCACGATCCCAGCCCCCAGAGAGTCGCCCAGCACGTTGGTGGTGGTGCGCAGCCGGTCTCTGTCAAGACATCAAAGGAATAATAATAATACATCTATCTACTGTATCTGTAAAAGCACAGAAAGTCTATCCATGTGGAGGATTCTATGTCAGTATTTCAGGTAGGTGCCTCTGTGGGAAAAAGACAATGTTTTCCTAGATTATTATTTGACCCTTCTTATGTCAGAAAGTCCTTTCTACTGGCCAACAAGCATATGCAATTAATATTTTCTTAACATTGTCACAACTTCTAGATACCTTTATGAGAACATATTTAAACCATAGTTGAAATTTACTGACAACTTTTTTTGTTTCATGTGGATTGGCCCAGGAATTCCCGGGAAATGTGTTCTAAACTGAGACTGTAAGTATAATTTTTGTCCAGCAAATGTTTATGGCACTAGTAATAATCGATAAAGTTTGTAAGTGAAAGCAGATCCTGACTGAAGCGCTCGACTGATGTGGTCTTGCATTATGCATGAGTAACCTTTGTAGAGGAGGGACCGGCCCTCTCTGAAGCCTCACACTGACATTTAGCTTAAACCAATCCCCTTCGAGCTGACATTTAGGAGGAACTCACAAGAACCAATCCACAGCGATGATCAGTGTTATGTCCTCCGTGGGCAGTCCCACCGATGTCAATACGATCACCATGGTAACCAGGCCGGCCTGGGGGATGCCTGCTGCTCCGATGCTGGCAGCAGTCGCAGTGATACTGAGTGGGAGGAGGGCGGAGGCAGAGATGAAGTGAAGGCATTTAATAAACAGCACCAGTGTTTAATAACAGTTAAATGATCAGGTTGGTGGATTAGTAACTGTTTCAAAAATAAATTACAGTTTTTGAAGAAAAGAGTGAATATATGTTTACATTAGAAAAAGACTTCTAGTACTGATGACAATACAGCAGAGACAGCATACACAGTTTTATATCAATGTAATAATTCACAAAAAAATAAAATAAACAAACTTTCTTATAACTGAATTAGTCAAATCATAATTTCTTTCATCAATCATAACCAATAAAATATGTGGTAAAACTGGGATAACATTAGTAAAACAATATTTAAAACAATCCTAATCTTAATTAATAATCTTAATTGTAATTATTTACTGTTTTTTGTGCAGTATAAACTGTTTTATGCACTTTAACATTACCTGATGGTCAGGATCTGTCCAAAGTTCAGGTCCATGTCGTTGACTTGGGCAATGAAAATGGCAGCCACCGCTTCATACAGGGCAGTCCCATCCATGTTGATAGTGGCCCCGACAGGAAGAACAAACCGTGTCACTCGTTTGTCCACGCGGTTGTTTTCCTCCAGACAGCGGAACGTGATGGGCAGAGTGGCAGAGCTGCAACAACCCAAAGCAGTCCAAATGATGGCTTTTAGTTTTAGAAGGGTACCTTTTTGGCCTTCATAACTCTTCATAACATTTTCTGTATCTCTAGTAGTTTAATGTAGTTTATAGTGATTTATTTCTGTCATTATCTTTAAGTTGTTAACGTATCATTTTTGAAACGTGCGTGGTTTAATCTTTGAAATGCAAATACTGTTTACCGTCAGCGGTAAACAGCAAACTGTTTACCGTCAGCAGTTAGTATTTGGTTTTTAGCATTTAGCACTTAGCACTTAGTAAAACTGTTTTAAGCACTTAGTAAAAGAGAGTAAAGTTCTAGTAGTTTCATAATTGTGGGAGTCCTATTGCAATAACAAATACAAGATAAATACATGTACACAATAGCTACATTCACACATTAATTATTGACTACACAGTAAACCACTTGTTGTTTTGCACATTCACCTGGAGGAGGTTCCGAACGCTGTTATGAGAGCCTGCAGCAGACCCCCAATGAAGCTGAAGGGGTTTCTCCGGGTCACAGCAAAGAAGAGCAGTGGGAGCACGAACAGGCCGTGGATGAGCAGACCGATAATCACAGATATTGTGTACATGCCGAGCTGCCCGCCAACCTCCGCCAAGTTTTTCATCTCAACAATCTTTCCAGCAATCAGGAACATGATACCCACTGGGGCATACCTGCAGTGCCATCAAATTAAAGTTGATAGAGAGCATTGAAAAACTGTATGTAATTTTAAAAATAGCTATTTGGACATGAATGCAATTGTATTACTATATTTTACTTAAAGCCACAATATATTTGGAGATACAACTATTTGGAAGTTTACATATACACAGTGTAATAAGACAACAGTTATTTTCTCATTGTATGAAATAAAAATTTTTTTCTATTGACTCAATATTGAGTAAAGCCCTTTCTGCAAAGCACAAACATTACATTCATCACAAAGATTTTGGTAGAATTGCACATTAGTGCACAATGCTCTCATATGCCTTTTGAGATGTATGTATGTACTGTATCTGCATGTAATTTACAGATTTATAGATGCACACATACAGCATGAGACTGCCACCCCCATGCTTCAGATTTGGACAGTGGACAGTGTTCACTTGGCTTACACACTTTGTCCTCCAAAATCAATGTCATTATGGCCAAACATTGCCACTTAGGCTGCAATCCAACTTTATATTTTATTTGGCATTATGTTGTCTTCCTTTCATTGGGCTTTCCCACATACATAAAATACATATTTATATTTGTGTAAACTTCAAACATTTTGAAATAGCTGACCTATAGGGTCAGGTTTTTTTTCTAAACTTCAGACAGTGAAAAATATATTTGTTATGTAAACTTCAAAGGAACAACATTGTGAGTGAAGTTTGTAGAGATGCAAGCTCACTTGCGGCAAGAAACATGAAAGACCATACTCTTATATTCTACGTAACGGCTAAAAGTTACGTACGGGGGCTTCAAAGTGGTGTAAGCTTTACTGACCAGATGATAATGGCCACCAGCCTCATGATCGCTTCGTTCAGGCAGTCAAAGAAATCCCTTAGTGGCTGACCCTGCTGCTTCATGTTCCCAATGACCAGACCGAAACACATGGAGAAGACCACCAGGCCCAGAGCATTGACCCCCCCAGAGGAGCCAGACACAGGCACTGTCTCCTCCACCGCCTCCTGTCAGTACATCAACATATAATCCAACACAAGAAGTAGAAATGTGAAATCAGTTCAGGAATGCCCACCTGGATGGTCTGGAAGAGCTGGCTCACGTTGGCGCTGGGGCTGGACTCTGTGATGTTGAAAGTTTCAGTGAGGTTCAGAGCCACTGTGATGTTGCGAGTGCGGAGAGTCTTCTTGTACATAGTTTTGTACTGGAAAGAGCAGCATCACTGAGACCTCAAACAGTTATCATAGAAACAATGTAATGTAAAAGAAAGACCCACCTGCTTAAAACAAGCCTCCACCAGGTTTGGAGGAAACATGTTCCTAAAGAAGGACAAATAATTCATAATAAATTAGACACACACATTTTACAGTAGTTCGAGGTACCCTGAGTCGTTCTCTGAGCCAGCATCTGCCTCCTGTTCTGTTCGGTTTATAAAATACCACGGACTTCCACTCGAATAGTGCTGATGCCAAAAATATCACACAATATTCAAAAGAAATTCCTGTCATTATATTTTTTTCATTAAGGAACCTGGTGGGAATTTTAATAAAAAGATGAGAGACCTAAAGCATACACAAACTCTTCTTGTGTATGCTCTAGGTCTCTCCACATGAGGGTACTCAAACCACAGTATTGGAACCACTGGCCTTTACTGTTCCACAGTTCATGGAGTTCATGCTCTATGGAGTCAAACACTGGATGTAACAAGGCAGAAGGTGAAGAAAAGTATTTCAAAAAGATAGAAATCAATAAAAGATGAACCAATACGTTGAACCTACGTCAGGGGTCTCCAAACTTGTAGCTCTCTGTCTCAAATGGAAGAAAAGTTTGGATGGGGGATTTGATGGGGCACTGTTACTAATATACAGTAATACAAAATATTATTTTTTACATAATATGAACTTGCAAAAGTTGGAGGGAATCCTAATGATACATTTTGGAATAATTAACAATAATGCAGGACTGAAAAACCTGCCAGACCATATTTTTAACCATAACATGTTTGCACACTTCTGTCTTTTGCGCAACCTGAGTGATTCTATCAATGCCACATGTGACATGTAAATTTCTCCAGTGTAAGATGAATAAAGTCTATCTTATCTTATCTAATCTTAATGTAATTTCTAAATCCTTTGAGGAGTTAGGGTTAGAAAGGTGTGACAAGCTACTAGTGGCTCCTGAGGATGAGACACCTGACCTAAGTGGAACTGATGTCACTGACACTGTTGTGGAATAATACCTCAAATACCTTCATTCATATTTCTTATTATCTCATTACATGATGGCTGTTCCAGCCCTAGATATACGACAGCCCTTGGTTCCATACTTGGGAATATTTGTATCTTGACCATGTGAGTTTCCTGCAGTACCTGATGAGATCCAAAAAAGCGTCCGTGGCCTGCACCTGCTCAATGCTCCCTGTCTTGTGCAGGGGGCTGTCCCGGCTGCCTTTCCCCGGGCGGATGATGATCACAATGACAATCCCAATGAACACAGCGATCAGCGTGGTCACCATGTAATAGACCACCGCTCGAATGCCCATTTTACCCGAGGCTTTACTGTCCAGGGAGGAGATGCCTACAATATACATGAGGTTTAATAATAAGGAATAATTTTATAAAACTAAAATGGCCGGTGGCCACGTCCCAGGAGTTGAGAAGCACTGATTTAGACTGACCTGTGACCAAACTGGAGACAATAAGAGGCAGCACCAACATCTGCAGCATCCTCATCAGCAACTCTCCAGGAAAGGCAAAATATTTGACCTCCCTCAGGGAAAGATTGCGAGTGCGCAGTGCAAATCCCAGAATCACACCTTTAAAACAAAAATGAATCCAGTTCTACGTAACACAAGTGAGATACATACAAATGCTCTGCCTTGACACTGACCCAAAGCCACAGCTGCCACAGTAAACAGCACAAACAGATTCCTCCTGAGGAACTTTCTCAGCGCGTCGCGGCTGCAGGTGCAAAAGCGCCCCCGGACCGTGCTCGCCTTGCGCTCCATGGCTCGCCGTATGCGCCTCTGCAGGGCTCCTCGCTCAGGCTCTTGGGGCTTGTCCGTGTCCTCGTTCAGGAAGAGACTGGCGCTGTTTGGAGGCTTCTCATGCATAATCAGCTCCAGCACCTGGTCCAGGAGGCGGGTCTCGCGCGAAACTAAACACATGCAAACACAAACACACATTCAACACAGTGTTTATTTAACCAAATGCAGAAGAGACAATCCAAAGGCCTGCAGTCCATGCGTAGGAGGCAGTAATAATAAACTGGGACCCACACTAAAACACTGCATGTAATTCTGTCTATGTCATTGGGAATCAAATTAAGTGTATGAGACCCCATTCTTGTGATGTACTTGTGCTCAGTATGCGCTGTTGGTTTAGTTTTATGTCCCATTTTAATTAGTATCTATACTTGCTCAAATTAGTATTTCATGTTGATACTGGTATTATTACACAGTCCTCTGTACATTTGTATACTTTTGACAACTAAATACTGTATACCATAGCTTAGTTGTTTTGGTACTTGTTCATATAAACAGTTCTCAAAATGAAAATAAGGTTAAGTGTGTTCTTAAAAGTCCTCAGTGTTGTGTTCTGAAACAGCCTCTTCAAACAAACTGGATGACAAACACACTAAAAACAACAACAAACAGCTTACAGCACGAGATTTTCTCTGACAGTCCAAGGTTTACAAGAAGACATGTTATTTTTATATATATCTCATACAGACACTCAATGCACTTCACAAGGAATTGTGTAAGTAAAAACATCACGTAAAGGCATGCATTACATTTTGTTTAATCATATTTCTTGTGTTGAACTGTTTATTTCCTGATCTGTGTTGACGAATTCAACAGTTTTGTTTAGTCCTTCAAGAAAACTACTATTGGGATTTAGGGCTATACAAGAATACATTGAATTGAATTTAATTTAATTTAATATTGTGCTACTTGTTTACTTTGTATCTGAATAATGTCTTTATATGGAAGGTTATTAAGTTAAGGATATTTAAAACATTTATTTTCTAGAGGACTTTTAAAAATATCATAGAACCAGCAAAGGTATACCAGTGTATACTTGACTTAATATGTTCAACAAAAAAAAACTAAAACACTGAACATACTGTATATGAAACCTGCCACATACCGAACACATGCAGTATAAACCAAGCATTGCTAAATCATGCAGCTTCCGTATGTGGAGAAGAAACGCAGTAGAAAGAGCTCAGTTCACACTGAGGCTCAAAATCAATTTGAAGGCTAGTGTTAAATATAAAAGGACAGCACATTCTTTATACATTAGTTGACTCTCTGTGAGATAAGATAAGATAGACTTTATTGATCTCACACTGGAGAAATTACATGTCACATTTGGCATAGATAGAATCCCTCAGATTGTATTCCTACAGTATTATTATTAGTTTTATATGCACATAATTCAATAGTCCCTGACCAAGTAAACTAACAGAGGCAGGTTCTCTCTTACGGCTTTACTCACCACTCATGTTGCCAGTGTACGTCCAGACCTCTGTCCTCTGTGCTGTGGGGTGGTGTGAGAGTGTGTCCGTGTGTCCAAAGCTCTGCTCTTATGAAGCAGGGCATCAAAGGGCCTCGAAAGTGTGTGACCTTCTCAAACCACCGCACAAACACACGCACGGACTACAGGCATGTGTCCAGGGCCATTGATGTACATACAGAAACATAAGTGACCTATGACGGCGACTTTAAACTTAACTATACTGGAGTTAAGGCTACATCCATACATTCTCCAACTGTCAAACACATGACAGTTACCAGGCTAAAGAGTCAAGGAAAAATCGAACCAATCGATTGGGAACGACATGCCAACTGCATGCTTAGCACTGTATAACAATTCTGTGTCAAGTGTGATAAAGGAGTAGAAAGATAAGCTGAGCCAATGTGTCTCTAAGAACGGAAATTAACAATTAGAATAATATTGTAAGAAAAGGATAACTTTTTTAATGGATTATGTTTATCTGATGAGTTAAAGCTGGGGTACCTAATTCTTTCCTAGTAAATGATGCCCTTTATTTTCCCCAATAGAAGGAGTCAAATACATGGTTTTAGGCTCCCTTTTTTCTCACTGTTCAACTCTGAATTTCCCATTGTGGAATGAGCAAAGGTTATTGTGTTTCGCCAGCTGCCCCCATTCATTTTAATGCGCCGGGACTGGGACAACTGTGTTTTACTTTCTTTTTTTTTTGCCCAACTCATAGATACAAATACATGCATCAAACTCCGTCCGTCCGTCCGTCCGTCCGTTTTCCTCCGCTTCATCCGTTGCCGGGTAGCGGGGGCAGCAGTCTAAGCAGAGACGCCCAGACTTCCCTATCCACACACACTTCCTCCAGCTCGTCCGGGGGGACCCCAAGGCGTTCCCAGGCCAGCTGAGAGACATAGTCCCTCCAGCGTGTCCTGGGTCTTCCCCGGGGCCTCCTCCCAGTGGGACGTGCCCGGAACACCCCTCCCAGGGAGGCGTCCAGGAGGCATCCGGAACAGATGCCCGAGCCACCTCAACTGGTTCCTCTCGACGTGGAGTAGCAGTGGCTCTACTCCGAGCTCCTCCCGTGTGACCGAGCTCCTCACCCTATCTCTAAGGGAGCGCCCAGCCACTCTGCGGAGGAAGCTCATTTCGACCGCTTGTATACGCGATCTCGTTCTTTCGGTCACTACCCAAAGCTCATGACCATAGGTGAGGGAGGGAACGAAGATTGACCGGTAAATTGAGAGCTTTGCCTTTCGGCTCAGCTCTGTCTTTACCACGACGGTCCGATACAGCGACCGCATCACTGCGCACGCTGCACCGATCCGCCTGGCAATCTCACGCTCCATTCTTCCCTCACTCGTGAACAAGACCCCGAGATACTTGAACTCCTCCACTTGAGGAAGGACCTCGCCACCCAGGACATCACAACAGGACAACATCGTCCGCAAACAGCAGAGATGAAATCCTGTGGTCCCCGAACCGGACCCCCTCCGGCCCCTGGCTGCGCCTAGAAATTCTGTCCATGAATACAGTGAACAGAACCGGTGACAAAGGACAGCCCTGGCGGAGGCCAACATGCACCGGGAACAGGTCTGACTTACTGCCGGCAATGCGAACACAGCTCTGGCTCCGGTCATACAGGGACCGAACGCCCCTCAGCAGAGGACCCCGGACCCCGTACTCCCGGAGAACCCCCCAAAGAACACCCCGGGGAACACGGTCGAACGCTTTCTCCAAATCCACAAAGCACATGTGGACAGGTTGGGCGAACTCCCATGAACCCTCGAGTATCCGATGGAGAGTATAGAGCTGGTCCAGTGTTCCGCGGCCGGGACGAAAACCACACTGCTCCTCCTGAATCCGAGATTCGACCATCGGCCGTAGCCTCCTCTCCAGTACCTTGGAATAGACCTTGCCAGGGAGGCTGAGGAGTGTGATCCCACACCACCACCCCAGTCTGCCACTCCATCGGCACCGCCCCTGATCGCCACGCGATGTTGCAGAGACGTGTCAGCCAAGACAGTCCCACAACATCCAGAGACTTTAGATAGTCAGGGCGGATCTCATCCACTCCCGGCGCCTTGTCACCATGGAGGCTGCCAACCACCTTGGTGACCTCTGCCAGGGAGATGGAAGTATCCGCCCCAACATCCTCAGCCTCTGCCTCCAGGGCGGAGGACGTGACGGGGGGGTTGAGGAGAACCTCGAAGTATTCCTTCCACCGCCCCAGTCGAGGTCAGTAGCTCTCCACCCCCACCATAAACGGTGTTGGCAAAGCACTGCTTCCCCCTCCTGAGGCGCCGGACGGTTTGCCAGAATCTCTTTGAGGCCGACCGATAGTCATGCTCCATGGACTCTCCGAACTCCTCCCAGACCCGGGTTTTTGCCTCTGCAACAGCCCGGGCCGCGGCACACTTGGCCAGCCGGTACTGGACAGCTGCCTCAGGAGTCCCCCGAACCATCATGACTCAATAGGACTCCTTCTTCAGCCTGACGGCATCCCTTACTGCCGGTGTCCGCCGGTGTGCCTTGAGATGTTGTATGCAGGTGTATTACAACGCTCGGTCAAGCTGGTGGCGCTAATACTAACTTCAGCGACTACGAGAGTACCTTGGAGTAAACGTGTGAGCCTGGGAAATGAATGAATGAGAATGAAAGAATGAAAAGTGTGGCGTATGAGCAGAACGATCGGAGCAGGATACAGGTGAATGTTGGTGTGTTCTGGCGTCAAAATAAACTGTGACTCTTGCGCGTCCGAAGTGTTATTAGAATAGCACCTCACTGCGACAGCGAGGGTCAAAACAGAAGGCAGTTATCCCCCGTAGGAAACGAATTCCTCCGGCACTGGAGCGACACACTCCCCACCACCCACCACATTGACTCCCTTCATCTAGGCATTACCGTTCCCAGGCACGGTTGCAGCGGTCACAGCCCGGTCTGGGCCACTTTAATTGGGCTTTATGTTGTGCTTGTGACCGCGGCCTTAGATTCTCTATATAACACACATTGATAAGAATGACTTTGTTGTGTTAATAAAGGAGAGTTTCATGTTTTAAGCTGGTGGTGTGCCATGTGATTTATTTAAAGGTGCAGTAAGGATTCAGGTTAGCATTTAAGTAAGTAAGTAAGTAAGTAATCTTTATTTATATACCGCCTTTCACAGACCAGAGAAGCGGTTTACAATTGTTATTTTTTGGGCACTTGTCCTCTCACTTCACATAGAGATGGGAGCAGGGTCGCCGAAATTTAGCAGTAGCATCAGAGTAGCACCGACTCAAAACCACTCCCCCTACCCTGCACTCCGCCAAACCCAACTCCCAGCATACATGAACGCCGTTTCTGTAATAACGCAGTCTTTGACGGAGCCTCCCAGCTTGAAATGTGAAAGCATTACACTACATTAGGGCTCAAGTCCCATCGGCCCGGGGTGGTATTGCAAGCATGTCAGCGCACGTCATTTTGGCCACTTTTGAGCCGGAACCCGCTCCAAACTATTCATGATTTATGATTTATTTTTAGAGGCTACAGGCATCTGGTCATGTCCGTTCCTATTTGAAAACACATAGCTTGACTACTTTTGGGGATTAAGGACGTTTCCCCACAGTATTTTGAAAATTGTGTCTGGATACATCATTGACTGCATCTTTAAACAGAAAAGGTTGGGCATGCTCAAAAAGGTTGGGGGACACTTGCATAAAACTAAAGGTGACAACAACTTCTAGTGATCTTGGACTACCTTCTTATATAGTGCTTTAAAGTGTTCCTCATGAACATAACGTTAGATCGCCTGCTTGTATGTGTACATAAGAGATGAAAAAAGACACTTACCCTGATCGTGCTGCTTCCAGTCATCAGCTTCATTCGGCAGAAATTATGCTGCAACATAAAAACACTTCTCAAACCTGTAGTCTACTTCATACGATAATAATTTTCTGCTGAATGAAATATACTCGAACAATCAGAAATAAAGCAGACCTTTTGAAGCAGTTCGTTGTCTCCAGCATCCAGGACATGAACTGCCCACACAGATCTGTCCGTCTCTGAATCTCTTACTTTTTCTTCTGTCTTACTACGCGAGTGTTTCCATGAAGCCCGCGGCGCCTGAAGGAGTCCGGGAGGTCTGCGTGGGCGGAGGAGGAGAGGAGAGGAGAGGAGAGTAGAAGGAAGATGCCAAACGCCTAATACGTTAATTTATATGAAATAAAAAAATATGAAACAGGATATTTTATGCATCATTGGCATAATCCTTATTTCTAAAGATTGTACGGATCACATTTTGAGCTTCGGTTCGAGGAAATTCATTATAAAAATCGTCACAAAACGTATCAAAGCGATCTTTCTGCCTCCACATCTAGGAAAGTTTTCAGTTTTTTATTAAACTGAAAATTAAATCATATTTCATTTCACTTCATGATTGTGTGTTTTTAGTGAGTATCTTTTACATGAAATTTAAATAAAATATATTTATGTTTGATACCATGGCAAAATGTCAAATATTTGAAGGGGGAACATATGCAACCCCCAAATGTAAATCTTGTGGTCACTCACCAGATAGCTGATCACCCACGATCGTGTTTAATGTGACTGTTTTCGCCCTCAACATCCAATTGTATTTTTTTTTGCATTTTTAACTTTTGTTTTTAACTTTTGGAACCAGGAAGTGGGCAGGCCCAACCATATGTGTTTGTGGATCAACTGCCCTGTCCGACCCATCATCTGCAGTCAGACCTTTGCGCAGTGCATGTTGGCCTCTTCCAAGGCTGCCCTTTGTCACCGCTTCTGTTAGCTGATTTCATGGATTTGCTCAGATACAAGCAGTCGAGTTGAGTTT